TTTGGAGTGGTTGGTTCCCGCTTGTTTGGAACAGGTGAACAAGTCGAAGAAGTTTGTTGAAACCTCTGATATACATCTATTTTATGTGAGTTATGTTTTTTTTTTTATATATAAAAATCGTACGCTTTCCGCGATTAAACAAACCACAGACTACAAAACAGTTAAATTTAAAAATAACTAAATTTACATTTCCGCCAATAACTCAAAAACTGCTTGAGATATCAATGAAATGAGTTTTGGAATCTACGAAGTATTCTCTATTATTTTGCTTATCTGCAACTCAATCTAAATTTAAAAATACTTCCTAAAAAAAAACAAATCTTTTTTTTGTGTCATCGGCATCAACTATAGTCTATTTTTATGTATGAGAGAGTAATAAAACAGCATTTCTAATGCAAAACTTAGTACGGTCATTTTAAATATTTTTACAGAATAATCTAAATATTTCCTAAAATTGTAATAAATGTAGCCTAGCTATTACAAGTTTTGGGTCTTTTATTGGTCCTTTATAAACATAAGCTGTACAGAACAATAGAAAAAGGTTTGGACAGGCCAAAAGCCCTGTGTATTAAAGATTACATAGCCGTATCTTAAGATTATTTTCAATAAGTACCTATTTGCCAATTTTATTTTAATTCCAAGAATTTCTTACAGTAATCGAATTATAAGTAGATAAATACCTTCCCAACAAATTTCACCGAAAATGCGATTATAGGTTTTCCATTTAGTAAGGAGGTCCAAGTTGTGTATTCTTGACAGTTTACTAAATGTCGTTTAGTTGCAACTTGCAAGGTGCAGTGTGAATTCTAGTGTGATCATGGAAAATTTGGAAGGGCCGCGTAAACGACAAAAAATCGGTCCTTTAACAGTTAATGAAAAAACATTAATATTTAATTGTTTTAAATCATTTACAGACAAACATGTAAAAGTGTTGATCGACACAGTGGAATTAGTTAGTAGTAACCTTGGTGTTGGGAAATCTACGATTTACAGAGTTGTTAAAGAAGAGAAATGTGGCGAGTTTCAAACAGCACGTAAAGTTTGTTACGTTTCAAATAATAAACGTTTTATAAGGACAAAATGTTACTTTTACAAAGTTACGTTATTAAAACATATTTTGCACCACGTTAAATTTCTACCCCTTACCTGGGTCTCATTGTAAAAAACCTTATAATAAGAATTCTTACAAGCCTCAGGCCTAGCTCAGATCAAAATAGGTCAGTGGGATTCGTTTAGAATTTACCTTCAAGTCAATGACAAAGTCTTTAATTAAAAAGACTTAAAAGATTTCAATGAAATTAATTTTGGGCGCCATACTTTTAGATGTAAAATAAAAGCAAATTTGTCATCAACTTGTCGGTTGAAAGTAAAAAAAAGAGACTAAAATTTCAAAACAATTAATCGGCTTTAATTTAAATTTTGAATTTGACTGATTACATAATATAAAAGAAAATTAAATTAATTGATTTTAACACATTTTTCAGATTACGTTTTACCAATAAGTTTAAAATAAAAATTGACTAGTGACTCAAAAATTGTGTGTGTGGTCCTGGCCGACACTTATCTTGTGTTTCCGGATTTAACGGTTGAACTGGTCTGGTCCCTGTCTTAATGGTAGGTGAGCGGTGAGCCTACGATGACTTCAAACACTGCAGTTCCTTACCATAGAAAAACTAAAAAGAGAAGGTTTGAATAATAGGCGGGAATTGTTTCCTTGTTTGTAGTTTATCATATCGCGCTTCACGCGCTGCGAGCACTAAATAAAAGCCGTTTTTACACCCATATGATAATTAAAAAATGAATAAATTTTAAAGAAATCAATAATTTTACTAATGCAATCTTTTAAATATCACTTTAATACAATATAATGATCAAATACAGGGATAATTGTTATAAATTTATAAAGTTAAAGCTACATTTGAATATTATGAGGTGGTGTAAATCTGGCTTTGCTAATAAATTAGGTTATGTTACACTAAAACATGACAGTCGTGGAAAATGTAGGTGAGTAAAATTTAATTAATCTTATTTTTAATTTAGTTTTAGTTAAATTTAAGTAATTTATAGGTGTAAAAATATACTGAGGTCCTTAACGATGTCATTAACTTATAATAAATTCACATTATCATGTGCTGCTCCAAATTGCAGAAGCAAATATTATTTACATTCACTTAATAAGAAATTTTTTTACTTTTCCGTCCATTATTACCCTTAGAGAGAAATGGTTTGATATTTTAAATATTCCCTACACATCTAAAAAAAACTATAGTGCGAGGATCATTTTGACAAGAATGCCTTCACCAGCACTTTGCCTACTAAGCTCATTAAATTTGCCTTGCCTTTAGCGCCTTTAGAAGAGAATATTACTACTAATAATAATATTACATTAGATGAAAATTTTTCAAAGCTACCTTCATCAAATTCTCTTGCAAAAATAAATGTAATTAGTAATGTTTTGATTAAACCTTCTGTTTCGAATATAACTTCAGCTAAAAGAAAGCTAGATTTTTTTAATGATAGAATTGAATGTGTTGAGGAACCTTTAATAAAGAAACCACGTGTAAGAACTGGTATTTTAAATCAAATTAATGCAACTACAATTGGTAATTTAACTCCTAGAAAGAGAAAATTTTATTATATTAATCGAGAGCAGCAAAACAAAATTTCAAGATTAAAAAATAGTTTATTAAAATCTAAAAATACAATTAAGACTGCTTTAAAATTATCAGAAACAAATTTATTTAAAAATTTTAGTTTAATTTTAAGATACACACTGCGCCTTTATTTTTTTTTTGTTTTAGTTATTCCTGAGTATGGAGATTTTTGGAATGGATATTGCAACTACAATGAACCGAAATAGATGGGCGAAGGGATAGTAAAGTGGTTTAGTGCCAGAGTTACCTAACCAACAAAATTTCAAAACAACTGGTCTTTGTTATTGTTTTAAGATCATTTCTATACATGCCAAAGTTACCTATTCCTTAAAATTATGTAGTTCATGACAAAATTAAATACTTATTTGACAAGTGACTATTTTTAAATTTTTCTTAAACTTTGATCTCAACTTAATTAATTATTTTTTAGCAACTCTGGCACTGGAACACCCAATAGAGCTTAAGAATAATAAAAAAAATTTCAGGTAGTAAACTCAATTTATTTTAAATGTGTACTTTTTGTGATAATGTGTAATTTTGTGATATTAGGTAATTTTATAGATATAAAATAATAATATTAATAACAATAATAATCGTGATTAGTGTAAACGTATATTTTTAAATTAACTTCAACCCTTGAACATTTTTCAACATATTGTGAATATGATGTTTAATATAATGTAATGATATAGTTACCTATTCTAAATAAAATAAACTTATTACAAATGTTTTTATTTTTCATTTAAAACAAGTGACATTTTCCGTTTTTCAGCATTTACTTACAATAAAAATTCATTTTACTTATTGATTGTTTCAATTATTGTAAGTAAAAGCTGTAAAATAGGAAAATGTTACTTGAAATTACTTCAAATTTCATAAATTTTAAAGCCCGCCATTTTTTAAATCGCTTTACCTAGTAGTTTTCTACTTTACCGACTGTACCGAATTATAGTTCATCATAACGCGCTCAGCGCGCCACTGTCGAGGTCAAACAAACTTGTTACCAACTATTTACAGGGGAACTGGCTACCCTGTTCCTTACGCAACTCAGCCCAAGATATTCCGCAGCTCTAGTGGCAACTAGCTGACAATGATTCTGCAGTTCCAGATTACCAAGGACAATTCCTTATTTTGTTCCAGATCCAGTTCCTTATTTTGGTACAGATCTAGAGCCAGTTCCTTATTTTGGTACAGATCCAGTTCCTTATTTTGTTCCAGATCCAGAGCCAGTTCCTTATTTTATTCCAGATCCAGTTACTTATTTTTAAGAAAGAAAAAACGTGTCAGTTACAACAAAAAAAAACGTATCTTTCCATTGCTTCAAAAAAAAAACAACACATGTGTTCAGCAATAAATCTTACAATTTAAATTAAACATTCTTAAATTAAACATTTCAAATTTTACAACAATATTAGAGAGTTGCAATAGTATTTAATTTAAAACACATGAAGAATGGAAAGATCTTTTCAAATAACTGAGAAGAAAAAAATATAAAATTAATGGCAGCCATTTTGTACATTTTGGAATTTATATTACGCGAAAAGCTCACTATTAATAAAAGAGATAACTCAAAAGATAATTTCAGCAGAATATGCACACAATAAAATTAATTTCTACTTTTCATTAATAAAAAAAAATTCGAGATTACCTTAGTTATTCGGACACACAAAGCACTAAAATCAACCTGTCTACCTCGCTTCTAGATTGAAAAAGAAATTTCAAAAGCCAGCAGCTGACCAAATGTGTGTAAAACGCGAATATTTCCCATCCATAAGTAAGCCAGGCGTGCGCACGACATCTGACCGTAATTATTGATTTTTAGAAAAAGCGCATCATTGGTAGAATGTCCCAGAGAGAGACAAATTCCCGTTTCAACATAATATATATAATTCCAAATACGAGGGGCGCTCAAAAAGTATTAGAATATATTGGAATAATAATGAACTAATTAAATATTGTAACTATTAAAAGGGAGTGACGATTACAACGTAACAAGTTCCAGGAAAAAATTTCAATTAGAAAATCTTTTGAAAGAAAGACTTCGAAGGAAAGTGCATGCGTTCTTCTTTAGAAGAGAATTTCCGACAGTAGACAAAGTTCTTGCCTCGGTTCGAGATGATAAGGATTACCCTGAAATGGGTCTAAGCAAACTATGGAAACTTTTAAAAGAAATAGGTTTTCTATGGAAAAAGCATTCCAGAAAGTCTATTTTAATAGAAAGAAGCGATATTATAGTATGGAGAAGAAATTACCTAAGGACTATAAAAGAAATGAGAAACCAAAGAAGAAATATATTTTATTTAGATGAAACATGGATCAACGAGGGACATAAACCAAATAAATTTTGGCAAGATGAAACTGTTACAAGTCGAAGACAGGCTTTTTTAAATAATTTATCTACTGATTTAAATCCACCATCAGGAAAGGGGCGCAGACTAATAATAGAACACATCGGTAGTTCAAACGGTTTTGTTAAAGGTGGTTCATTGACTTTTGAATCTACTCGTACCGGTGACTACCATGAGGACATGAATGCTAATGTCTTTAAAGAGTGGTTCGAACAAATTATAGATCTTCTTCCTCAGAATTGTATAATAGTAATGGATAATGCAAGTTATCACTCGAGACTTATAGAAAAAATGCCCACAACCAAGTGGTTAAAAAAAGATTTACAGAATTGGCTAAATTCAAAGAATATTAAGTTCCATCCCGGTTCTGTGAGAAAAGAACTGTATCATTTGTGTTCCCTTCATAAAGAGAAATTCAAAAAAATATGAAATTGATGAAATTGCAAAAAATCGTGGGATGACGGTGGTTAGATCACCACCATATCATTGCGAAGTAAACCCGATTGTACTGATATGGGCACAGATAAAGGGAGAAGTTTCAAGAAAAAATAATTCTTTTAAAATGAGTGATGTTAAACAGTTGTTTTTGGAGGCTGTAAATAATGTGAAGCCTGAAAACTGGGAAAAGGCAGTAAATCATACGATTAAAGAAGAAGAGAAAATGTGGAAGTTGGACAATATTACTGATGAAATGATCGAGCCACTCATTGTAAATATTGGTTGCGACAGTTCATCTTCTGATTTCCATTCTGATTTGGATTTGTAGGTAAGAAGTAGTTTTTATATTAAAATTATTATTTATGAACGTAACGTTGTTTAAAAGTCAAAGTTTAAACCCTTATACCTACATAAAAAATGCAATGTAATGTCAATTACTCGACAAAAGGATCCAATTTGATTACTGTATGGATAATGAGTCACTAAAACAGGTATATGAATTCAAAGACTTAGGAATTACGTATGACTATAAACTATCTTTTAAAAAACACATTGAAAATGTAGTAAAATCTGCAAATCGCGCTCTTGGATTTACGATACGACAGACGTCTCTTTTTGTCAAAATTGATATATGTTACGTTAGTAAGATCTAAACTTGAATATGGCTCTGTAATATGGAATGGAGAATACCAAACCATTTTGCAGGAATTGGAAAGAATACAAAACAAATTTTTAAGATATCTTTACTTTAAAAAATACTTTATTAGACCAGATTATAATAGTGTCAGAACAACACAATTACGAAGTGAATTTAAAATACCTTCTTTAGACTGTAGGAGAAAAATGTTTGCTATACTTTTTTTGTATAAAATCATAAATAACCATATAAATTCCGCAGAAATATTGTCAGTTTTGCCATTTAATGTACCTCCTAGACCTACGCGTTCCGCGATTATGTTTAATATTCCCTTTGTAAGTAGCACTCTTCGATCACCTCTTCTAACCATGCTCCGTTTAGCAAATAATATTACTTGCTTGCACGAAGTAGATTGGCATATGCCTCTAATAACATTCAGACACCTAATTTATAGGTATATTGTGAACTTGTCTGTTTAATTATTTTAGTTTTTCCATTTCTTTTATTATATGATTTGCTTTTTATTTTTTAGAAAAATGTTTTCTCAATATGAGTTTGTGTTTAATCCCCCTATATCTATATATCTATTTATTTAATATGTTTATTAATACGTTTTGATCGATTGTGTAAATAATAAATATTGTAAAGTCTATCCTTGTAATTTAGGCTAGTAAGCCTGTTAGGATGGAACAAATAAATAAATAAATAAATAAATAAATAAATAAATAAATAAATAAATAAATAAATAAATAAATAAATAAATAAATAAATAAATAAATAAATAAATAAATAAATAAATAAATAAATAAATAAATAAATAAATAAATAAATAAATAAATAAATAAATAAATAAATAAATAAATAAATAAATAAATAAATAAATAAATAAATAAATAAATAAATAAATAAATAAATAAATAACCCGTTTGACACAATGTTCTTAACGTATCTTGTGGAAAAATAAAACATTTCAGAAAAAATTGCACTTTTTTACCTTCAGCTGTTTAGAAGTTATAAGCAGGTTAATTAGGTGAAAATATAAGTGTATACTCGAGGAATAACTTCAAAAAATATTTTATCTGTCTACTAAAAGAAGTGCTCCGCCTATGGATTACAAACGCTTTATTGTTTTGGTACTCTCTCATACATAAAAATAGCCTATACACAACTATTACATATGGATCTTCAAATATCAATTGAAGTTTTGCACATTTATTTTTTTTTTTTTTTCATATTCTGAACTTGGAGTGCTTAATAAAAACAAACTAAAGAAAAATTGGAAAATCGTTTCAGGAAAACTGTCGTTATCCCCGTATTCTGTATCTTGTACCTCATAAGTGCATTCATTTCTGTTCCAGTCATTTACTCGTCTCTTCACGTGCATGATACGCGATGAAACTCAAGTGAGCACCGTATGGTTGCAGTGCACGTTCATTTTTTGCCTTTGTTGGGGATTGGGTTCGACGCTCACAACTGAAGGAAAGAAGCAATTCGATACGTTCTACAGGAAAACTTTGGCCGGTGAGAACAAGAAATCTCCGAAGGTCAAATCGTTTAAACTGTCCAAGAATCAGTTGTTTCCGGAGCGATCCGTGTGTTTCGATTTCTTTTATGACAAGAAAAATAACGGTACGTGGATAAATTGGACTGATACCGTGGAGAAATTGGAAAAGATACCTGTCACTGCCAAAGTGAGTGTTACGTTAGGGGTATAGACGAAAATTCTATTAATATATTTTGTTTCTGTCTCTTTTCAGGCTAGCGAACTGATTATACAAACGAACGATTCCTGTCTGATGAAGTTCTTTTTGAAAATATGTTTAGATAATAAAATTCCGATTTTGTTTGTCGGTCCTACTGGTACAGGCAAATCTGCGGTTGTGATCGAACATATGTTGAGCATGCCCAAAGAGAGTTACCAACCCAACATCATCAATTTCAGTGCTAGAACTTCATCTAGCATGGTTAGTGACTATTTTCTGTTTTGTAGGTGTTTACTAGTATAAACTTTATAAATGGATTATGCTTATTTAAAAAGAACCAAGCGCCAAATTGGAGTTTTGAGATATTAGAGCTTAAAGATGATAATGCTCTATTAAAATAATGACTGTAGAGAACTCCAGCTTTGTGAAATATTGTCAGATAGTTATTATAATATCACAACTTCGAATAAGCTGTGATATTATCATAGGCGCAATTTTATAAGTCTATTGTTGGAAGATATTTTTGGCAAATGATTCTCTTTATTGAAATTATGAATTTATGTTTCCTAGTGTGTCGTTTGATTCATTGGATTTAGAGCTAGTAATTGGATCTTTCTATACAAGGTAATTAAACCTTTTTCTGTGCTGGGTGCCTTCAACTCATTTCTGCCAATTTGACACTTGGTTCCTTTTAGATAAGCATGGTCCAAATGAGAAGCTATACCGATTGTCCCGTTCTCCTTAAAATCTCCGATTATTACATTATTTAAGTAGTGTATCTTTTAGACTCAAGAAATGGTAATGTCAAAATTGGACAAAAGAAGACGAGGAGTATATGGTCCCGCTATGGGAAAACAATGCATTCTCTTCGTAGATGACCTAGGAATGCCGCAGAAAGAACAGTGGGGCGCCCAACCTCCTGTCGAATTGCTACGTCAATACATCGACCATGGACATTGGTTTGCAAAAGACACGTCAATGCTATATTTGGTGGACATTGTAAGTTACTACTCGCGAGTGATTTTGATATTTACTATGCTTATTACTATTTTAGTTATTTGTTGGTGCAATGGGAGTGCCTGGTGGTGGAAGAAACGAAGTTACAGATAGATTTTTAAGACATATGCAAATTATTACTATTGATTCTTTCGATGATAACACGTTGGGAAAAATATTTACCACAATTTTGGATTGGCATTTTGCTAAAGGGTATGCGTCTGATGTAGCGAGACTTTCTAAGGTAAATCTTCTTTTCGGGTCCCTTTTTTACCCATTCAGGCGTTTTTCTACATATTTGTACTCATCATCTTATTTTTAATATTTCTGCTCTTTTTTTCAGTTCTGTGTAGCATCGACAACAGAAGTCTACAAAATGGCCATCAGCAATTTTTTACCAACGCCAGCAAAGTCGCATTATACTTTTTCGTTGCGAGATTACTCGAGATTGATTAACGGTCTTCTGGTGACTCCCCCAACGCATTTGGAAGATCCTGATAAGTTTGTTAGATTGTGGATACACGAATCGTATAGAGTGTTTCACGATCGGCTTATAGATGATGAGGATAGGTATAATATTATTCATTTAATATACAAGATATACAAATGATCAAAAGTGCAATCTAAAATAAATGTGGTACATAAAATTTACTTTTTTAACATTTTAAATCAAATAGACGTTTGGAAGGTGATTTAAGATCAAACTAAGATTACACATTTTCTATAGTTTCAGGGTATAAACGAAATGTGGTCCGAGTTCATCTCGGAGACCGTATTCTAACACAAACTGTTTAAAATAAACCATTCACATATTATATTTCTTTATAATGGGCCCGTTCACTTTCATTTTTGAATGTGAATTAATTATATATTTATAAAGATATTAATTTCTTTTGTCTGGTGGTACTTTTCCCGTTAAGATATTTTTGCTAGAAGAAAGGGAATTCCCATAAAATTCTTTCAGTGACTCATTGCGTCAGAAAACCCCTAATTCCCTTCAGGTCTCGTATCGGTTAATAGTTAAAAGGGCGCAGTTGTCGGATGTATCATTGCACCACCATTCCTCTTCTGCATTTATTAAAGAAATTTACATGATAAAAATATATTATTTTTTTAAAATAATGTGTTTATATTTTCAGATAAAGCTGGAAACCTTACCTTTTTTAAATTTTAATAAAAACAATTAGTATTACTCAAGCTGAATATTACCAGATCGAAATTTTATTTGAGAAAATGTATCTGGTAAACGTGACAACGTTGTAAGTACTTCTAAATAGTGTTGTCTACTAGGGTTGCCAACTTTGTTTTTTAATTTTTCTGGATGCGGGCAATAAAAATTCAGGACATACGGTAAAAATTCTGGACATTTTTATTATTACAAAAACAACAAACTTAAATAAACAATTCGACAAAAAAACGAAGTAAATAGAAACTAATGATTAAACATTTTATTTAAAAAGAACATAAGAAGAATGTAAAAAGTTACAGCTACTTATGTTATGTTGGAAATGGGGTGTTAATACATTGCGATCTAATAGATCTATTGTGCCCTCTTCTGTCGCTAATGCACCAAGGAAATGTCTCAATGCCTATACCTTCCAATCTTATCTTCTCAAGGAAGTGTAGGATTTGGAATGGCTTCAAGTTAGGTAAATCTCCATCTTCTATTTGATATCCTCCTAGGTAAAGTGCCCTTGAATTCTGGAGTGCTATACATTTAGTTATAATGTGAATGGAGGTTTCGTCCTCCTCCTCACAGAATCTGCACTCACTATCCTCTACTACTCTCAGTTTACTAATGTGTCCTTTTAGTCGGCAATGTCCGTTAATGATGTCCGTTACAATACGTAGCCTGTTCTTGCTCAGGCAGATACAGATTTCCGATCTTTTCTGGTTATATTTACCCAGAAGTAACTTAGCCTGTCTCAGCCCCAAGAAATTGTTTCAATTATCGATTATTCTACTGCCCAAAAAACGAAGTAAATAGAAACTAATGATTAAACATTTTATTTAAAAAGAACATAAGAATATAAAAAGTTACAGCTACTTAACAGTGTCACTGCGTTTAAAGTATTTTTTTTTTTACCTTTTTGCAGCTACTATTAATTTCTTGTTAGCTTATAAAAAATTATAATTCTTTGCAAATATAAAAATAATTCATCTTTATTTGAAGTTCGGTCTTGATATGTTAAATGGACAATCGATTATGGGCGTCATAGTCCACGAAGCTGAACGCATTGAAAATATCCTTCAAGCGTTAATATTAGAAAAAATATAGAAAATATAAATTACAAAATAAGCGACGGTGCCAATGTGACTATAAAATATAAGAAATTGGAGATATTTGAAACACTAAAATTAAGTACAATAAGCGTCCTGCAGTAGGTTGTTGCAGGACACTGAACAATGTACCCCAAATGGTGGACGTCCACCGAAATGCAGGACGGTTGGCAACCCTATTGTCTACACACACTTCTAGAAATAAATGCAACGTTGCCACGTTTACCAGATAAATATTGCAAATCAAATTTCTACTTTTTGATTATTTTCAGCCTGAGTAATAATAATTGTTTTAATTAAAAAGTAAAAAATAAGCTCCCAGCTTTAAATCTGAAAATATAACATCACTATTTTTAGAAAAATAATGGAATTTTACTATTTAAATTACATATATAAATGCAGAAATAGTATATTAGGGATACTTCCGACAACCCCGCCGTCTTTAAGCATAACCGATACGAGACGTGAACGGAATTAGGGATTTTCTGACGCAATGAGTCACTGAAAGAATTTTATGGGAATTCCCTTACTTCTAGCAAAAATATCTTAACGGGAAAAGTACCACCAGACAAAAGAGTTTAATATCTTCATAAATATATAATTAATTCACATTCAAAAATGAAAGTGAACGGGCCCATTCAAATAAAAAGTATTTCATTTGAAATTTTATGAAAATCATTTTTCCTTGCAGTTTTGTAACTTAGGTATCTTTCAAAAAATCAATATAATAATATATATAAACAATAATAAAATATTAGACTTTCTAAAAATGTACAAACCTCAACAAAATGCTTTCTTGTCGATTCGCCTTGTATTTCTGTGACGTCGCACGACTTGTAGTATCAACAATCTTCTTGTGGGAAGTTCATTCTCTGCTTCGAATCTGTAGCAAACAAGAACAGATCTAATTATCGTTATTATTTATTAAATTTTAGTTTTTCAAATATATACATGTAAGGATCGTCGCAATATATTTAGTTATTTATTTCACTTATTATTATCATTTCCTCTCTTTTCGAAAGCAATTATGAAAATGCCGAGAATTTGTGAAGCCTCGCCGTTCCTACCCCTAAGGACCAGAAGAGTCTATAAATAGTTGCTAAAACCGTTCGATTATGCCATTAGGTTATTTTTTTGTTTGCCGCTGGTGAATGGACGTTCCTTTAGGAGAGAGAGAGAGAGAGAGAGAGATATGCTTTATTGTCGTAAAAAAATTTACAAAAATTTTATAGACAAAGCGTGTAACTTAAATACTAAACATATTATAAAAATAACTAAACAGCAGAAAAAACAAACAGAAACAAACAGACAAAATAGGAATAACAATTGCAATGGATATGCAATATCCGTCATTATAATTATTCTAATTTAATTTTTAAATTTAAATTTAAACTTTAATATTTAATTATTTAATTAATGCCATTGTATGTGGAAGTCAAATGTCTAAGGTACGTTATAAAATTCTGCTACTGTGTAATATGGTCTTTCTAGAAGAAAAGCTTTAGCCAGTCTTCGGAACTTATCGTATGTATTTATAGATTTTAATTGCATCGGAAGGTTATTATACAATTTTTTGGCATTGTAGGTAATGGAATGTTTTAATAGGTCAGAAGTGGGCATTGTTAAATAAACATCAGTCTCTAAATTTCTTGTAGGATATCTACGAGTCGGTCTTTCGGATAAATTTTGAATGTGCTTGCGAACTAAGCAGACGGATTCGAAAATAAATAGAGCAGGAAGGGTTAGAATTTTGAAATTTTTGAAGTAATTTTCGCAATGTGTCCTACTACTTAAACCAAATACATAGCGGATTGCTCTTTTTTGCAGTTTAAAAATAGATTCGAAAAGGTATAAGCTACAAGAACCCCAGAAAGGTAAACCATAGCGAAGGTGAGATTCGAATAAGGAAAAGTAGGTTATTAATGCAGTAGAAGGAGTCAGCTCTTTAGAAACCGATTTAATGGCAAAACATGCGGAGGATAATTTTTTTGCTAAGGTATCTATATGAGCAGACCATTTTAGAGAATCGTCTATATAAAGACCTAAAAACTTGATTGAAGTCACCGTTTGGATCAGATTATTGTTTAAAGTTATAGGTTGTAAAGTACCTCTGTAAGACAATGCTACAGTTTTACTGGTGTTGAAACAAAGTCCATTCGAATCAGACCAGGACTTAATAGTCACTAGATCTTCACTTATGATAGATTGTAATGTCTGCATGTTAGAATTATTCCAGGTTACACTGGTGTCATCAGCAAATAAAGTAATTCTACCACTTATTCTTAAGTCTGTGATGTCGTTGATGAATAATAAAAACAAAATTGGACCTAATACTGATCCTTGAGGTACTCCACTGCTTATTGCTAGATTTGTAGAATCCTCACCATTCGCCCGCACCTGTTGATTTCTATTTTCTAGGTAAGTTTTAAACCATTGTAAAGGAGAACCCCGTATGCCATAAATTTGTAACTTATTAATTAAAATATCATGATTTACACAATCGAAGGCCTTTGCGAAGTCACAAAATACTGAAGCGGTGAAAAGTTTATCATTAAGTGATGTGTATATTTCATTAAGAACGGAAAACATTGCGTCGCTAGTGCATTTTTTAGGTAGAAAGCCATACTGATGAGCTGTGAGGATGTTATGCTTGAAAAGAAAGGGCAAAAGACGGTTTTTCATTAGCCGTTCTACTATCTTCGATAAGGTAGGCAATAACGCGATAGGTCTATAGTTACAGGTTTTGGTTTTGTCGCCACCTTTATGAAGTAGGAAAGAGACCAATTTCAAAGGATTCATTAATCAGTGAAGTTAAAATGTTGATTACTACATCCGGTATATTTAGAAATATTTTGGTGGACAGGCCATCAATTCCACAGGAAAATTTATTTTGGATGTTGTTTATGGTTTGCACTAATTCATGCTTGTCTACTGGTCTTAGGAAGAAACTTTCAGTGATCCTTTTAGTAGATAGGAGGAAGGAGAGAGCATCCTGACTCGGAGCTATGTTAGATTTGATATTTTTACTTACATTTACGAAATAATTGTTTAGTTCATCTGGGCTAGGATTTACACTGTTTGAAGAACGGGTTTTATTCCTTAAGTCATTTATTATAGACCAGGTTTCTTTGGAGGAGTTTTTAGCTCTTGCGATGCGATTTTTGTAATAGTTTTTCTTAGCAGATTTGGTGATTTTCCGATACAATATTCTGTAGTTGTTGATATAGTTTAATATTAGGGGATTATCTGTGTACTTTTTAATATACATGAGTGACCTCATATTTTTAGATGATGTTCTTATTCCTTTAGTTATCCAAGATTTATGACATTTAGTTTTAATGGGGCGAAGGGGGAAAGCTGTATTGAAACACATAATTATTTTATTTAAGAAGTCTAAAAATTTAGAGTCAATGTCTTCAGAAAGACCATTCCAATCAGTAGTTAGACATAAATTATAGAAATTTTTGAAATTATGCTTAGAGAAAATTCTAGCTAGCTGACGGACTTTTTTTGGAGCTGTACGGGGTATCAAAAATTTGGCAAATACTGCTTCGTGGTCTGAGAGACCTGAGCTAATTACTTGGTGCTCTACATCAACGGGTTTAAAATCAGAGACTACGTAATCTATAATTGTAGATGTTGTTTCTGTGATTCTAGTTGGAGAATTTACGTGCATAGTGAGACTGAATGATTCAAAAATATTGATCAAAGACTTTTGAGTAGCACATACATTAGCAAAGTCAATATTAAAATCGCCGCATAAAATTTTCTTACTTTTTATAGGCAATGCGTCAAGTAGATTAAGAAGATTCTCTAGAAAGAGGTGAACATTTGATTTAGGTGTTCTATAAATACAAATAATAAACAAATCAATGTTTTTGTTGTTTACAATGGAAAATTCGAAGAAATTTTCAGCTTGTAGAAAGTCGTATTTAGATACAGCAGAAAAGTCCTTGTCTAAGGATAAAATTAGAGTTCCACCATGGTCTGTATTACTTCTATCATATCTGCTGACGATAGTATATTTTTCGACAAAAACTGGTTCACCAACTTGTAATCCAAGACTCCATAGCTAGTGATAGTCTATATTATATTTTGCCAAAGTCTCTTGAGTTATTCCCAAGTTGAAGTTATAGAAATTGAAATATTGGATTTTAGTTTCTTTTTAATATTGTTTGTTTATTTTTATTTATAATGTCACTGTCATTTGTCATTGTAACCCAAATTACGTCACCACTAATATAGCGTATTATTTATTCCGATCTTCTGTAAGTTCTACATGTAGAATGCTATAAAACATTCTAGGTTGTTGCTGTTTAATATTGTAAGAAATGCCACATACAATGGCTTCAGGCAGCGTATGGAAAAAGTTTGCGAAAATATAATTGGCGAAGATGGAAGATTGGGACCGCAAATTATAAGGAACTTATTTTATGGAAATTATATTCTACCAGATGCAGAAAAAAAAATTTACGACGAAGTTAGTTTTTTTTTTTATTTATAATATATTAAGTAGGTATTTATCAACTAAAGTCAGTTCAAAATTAAGGTTTTGCCCGGAGCGCCAAAATGTCTAGGGCCCGCCCTGGATATACCAACCTCAGATCAATGTTTCAATAATTTTAATTTCGAAGATTACAGATATGGACGATCTAGTCGAAAAAATGAAATTCTATCTATCCGAATACAATCTCATATCTAAGTCTCCGATGAATTTGGTGATGTTTAAATTTGCAATCGAACACGTATCAAGAGTATCTCGCGTATTGACCCAACCAAACGGTAATGTACTGTTGGTTGGAGTCGGTGGTTCAGGAAGACATAGCGCAGCGAAATTGGCCAGTTTTATGGGAGAAGCGGCGATTTTTGAGGTAAACGAATGAATGTTTAAAAAGATAAATGGTCGAAAATCAAAAATAGTATTGAAATAGTAAAAGAAAGAGAAAGAAACGTTACAAATTATGAGTTCTAATAGCAGTGGTACTAAATTATTTGTAGATTGAACTTACAAGAACCTATGGTACGGTAGAATGGAGAGACGATTTGAAAAAATTGTTGACGAAGGCAGGCTTTGAAGGCAAACCTATAGTATTTTTGTTTGCCGATACTCAAGTAGCTGACGAAGGTTTCGTTGAAGATGTTAATACGATTCTCAACACAGGAGACGTGCCCAACTTGTACGCACCTGATGAGAAGGCTGATATATTAGAAAAAATACAAGCTGTATTGAAAGAAAGCGTAGGTATATTTTTTTACTCAAGCCCAATTGTATAACTCTAGTTTAGAAGTTCAACTGAACCTACTAGTGGTGTTAATAATGTTACAGTCAAAACCTTCACTTACTAATAATTTATTTTCTTGTCTTATGTTTTTACTACGTTTGTTATTTAAAATAGTTTATTATTTCTAATTTATTTACACTAAATACTAACTATAATGTATATCTTCGACTGTGTCTTGGCTTCAACTGATCTGTTCCGCTACATTATATAAATGAGCGCTGGTAATGTTTGATTGTAAATTCTGGTGGTATCGCGCGGAGTTTCGCCACAGCTCTCCAGTACTTGTCATGATTTTTCTAGAAAGCACCTCCGCCATTTCCTAGAATATATATTTACCAAATTCGTCATCGTTCACGTGCATTCTATGAATGGTTCATTAAAGTGTTAAAAGTCCAAACAATTAAACTATTTACCAATGTTTATCCTTTGGTAATATCATTATTATTAAAAAAAAAAAATGTTACAGGGAGCTAAGAAGATGGACGCTACACCTTTAGCTCTATATACATTCTTCATAGAACGAATCAGAGCAGCGTTGCATGTTGCTCTATGTTTTTCCCCGATTGGTGAATCGTTTCGAGTCAGATGCAGAATGTTTCCATCGTTGATAAACTGTTGTACAATCGATTGGTTTCAAAGTTGGCCTGATGATGCTTTAGAAAAGGTAAAGTAAAGTAAACAGGTACGAAAACCTAAACGAAGGTGAAATTATACTTTTAATGTATTTTGTATGTAATCGGCTACATTCCTAGGAGTATTGAACAAATATTTATTGAAGACATTATTAATGGTAGTTCTTAACTGATTTTATTTCCGCTATTGTCAGTTCGTTTTTGAAAGATCGTCAAAATCTGAAATTTTATTTTGATAGCCAGCCTCGGGGTTACAATTACATTTTTTTAGGTGGCACAATTTTTCCTAGGCCAAACCGATATAACACCGGAAATGATAGACGTTTGCGTTGACATATGCAAGTTTTTCCACGTCCAAGTGCAGGAAGCGTCAGATTTGTTTTGGAGAGAACAAAAGAGGAAAACGTATGTCACCGCCACCGCATACCTGGAACTAATACAAACGTTTAAGAGTTTGTACGCACTCAAAGTCAATCAAATAAATATGCAACGGAATAGGTAAACATTTAAATCTACAAATCGTTTGTCATTATTTTCATATTGTATACATTGGTTGGTACACATTCTTATAACACATACAATGTAAATATAATATGGTGAAATATAGGTACTTCTAAAGATGTTAATTCTTCAGATATGAGACTGGTTTAGATAAACTGGACTTCGCTGCAGGTCAAGTTGGTTTGATGCAATGCGAGTTACACGATTTGCAGCCTCAACTCGTCGTGGCCTCGGCCAATACGGAAAAGTTGATGGTTAAAATAGAACAAGATACTGTTGTTGTTGAGAAACAAAAAGAGGTAATTGTACAAACTAATGACTCATATTTTATAAAAAATATTTTCTTGTTTATTTGTATTGCATCTAGCTAAATTTCAGCCAATCAGGAATTTTTCTTTTTGATTTAATTAAGAGTTTAACCAATGGTATCTTCTTCATTCTGTACTGATGTTTAAAGTTCGTAACTATGCACTGCTAATTGGTCATTTCGAGCCTTCTCCAGAAACTGTGGAACTTCATTGATGTGGTCATGCAACCTTTTTTCGTGTTTTTCGATTTTTTTATTTTCTTCAATTTAAATTTTAAATGTCTTTAAGTAATAACAAACAGATCTATCTAATTTTGTTAACAATTTCCCTTTTTGTTATTGAATGTTATTCATTTTCTTAGGTTGACTGGAAGAGCAGATTCTATAGTAGCCTTTTGTTTATTTGATTTTACACAGTTTCCGTTTTCTTCTTTTATTGGTGACATGTGTTTTTTTACAGATTGTTGGTGCTGACGAAGCTTTGGCTAACGAAGCAGCCGCAGCTGCTCAAGCCATTAAGGACGATTGCGAATCGGATTTATCTGAGGCCATTCCAGCTCTTGAAGCTGCCGTTGAAGCTTTGAACACTTTAAAACCGGCGGATATTACAGTCGTAAAATCCATGAAGAATCCACCTTCTGGTGTGAAGCTTGTTATGGAAGCTGTACGTTAAATTGACAAATTAATTATTTAAAAATAATACTTTGTAATCTCTGTCTTCACCATTCCTATTTTCCATCTCCCCGCACTCTCTTCCTTCACTTTACTTCACAAGTTTTTGTTGTCAACATTTCGCTTATTTTCTGCAAGAACGTCTTAACTCAAATATTTTATGTTTATTTAAGGTTTGCGTGATGAAGCAGGTCAAGCCTGACAGGAAGCTGGATCCTAATTCAGGCAAAATGATTGACGATTATTGGTCATCTTCAGTAAAACTTTTGGGCGACATGAAATTCCTGGAGGGTTTAAAAAACTACGACAAAGATAGTATACCTCAATCTGTTATGAAAAAAATAAGAGACAAGTAATTAAATATTTATTTATTTCACTAAAACATTAAAGAAAAAAAAATATTCCAAGTAGTATGTATAAAAAAATGCGGGATATTTTCCATTTACTCCTGGGGATTTATATGGTTGAAATTTGTTTATATCTCATCTAATTTTGTTTGAGATGTCATCGTTTTCTTTTTACAGATATTTACCAGACAGAGAATTTGATCCGATAAGAATCCAAAGCGTGTCTGCCGCATGCGAAGGTTTATGTAAATGGGTCAGAGCCATCGAGGTATACGACAGAATCATTAAAATCGTCGCCCCAAAGCAAAAGGCCTTGGCAGCTGCTGAATCAGAACTTGCCGCCCAAATGGATACTCTGAATGCGAAACGAGCTCAGCTTCAAGAGGTTAGAAACTTGATTTTTATTAAATTTTGTTATAGAAATTTCCGTTGAGATAGCATGATTGTTTCGCATTGCATTCACATCTCATCGAGCATCACACATGTTTTTAACAAATAGAAATCGTTTTATTAACTATTCGTGTTTTTCACATATTTAGAAGTATGCATTAAAACAAATATCAAAAAAGAAAAGTAAATTCGTACATCTCAATTATACTGTAACCAAAATAATTAATATGCGTCATTTTTCTTTTGCATTAATCGTTCAAGAAAATCCATAACACAGAATTCTAACTAAAAATGAACCAATAACAAAAATAAAAAGTTGAGCTTATTAGGATAACTAAATAAATTATAATAGAACCCACCATAAAAAATTTGATAGTCATATTGTTTAAATTGTTATTACAAGGTGCAATAATAATTGAACTTTTTTGAGTTGTGACTGTATTCTTGCAAATGTATATTATTATGTCCGGAATTTGGTTTTTTGGATTGACAAACATTTTTTCGTTATATTTTGACGACGTTTTAAAAACCAAGGTTCATAATAATGTTTTATTGAAAGCGTAGGTCGCAGACAAACTACAAGCCCTGAACGACGATTTTGCCGCCGAAATGAAAAAGAAGAAGGATTTGGAAGACGACATCGATCTTTGCGGTCAAAAATTAGATAGAGCTGAGAAATTGATTGGTGGACTGGGAGGAGAGAAGGCGCGTTGGTCTGAAATAGCCGCGTATTGTTTAACTTTACTGGGAAAAGTAATTGGAGATGTACTATTATCTGCTGGTACTATCGCTTATTTGGGACCTTTCACTATTAATTACAGGTATAATCATCGTGATATACTACCCTCCTAAATCGAAAAGCGGTATTGACCGACCATACAAAAGAAGATTTATTTGTTTTTAAAAAATTATTATTTTTAGGATTTCGTTGATGAAAGAATGGAATGTTTATGCATTGGACAGAGGTCTGCCATGTTCAGATAATTTCTCGCTAGTTGTTACAATGGGAGAACCGGTAGTGATAAGAGCCTGGAATATTGCCGGTTTACCAATTGACAATTACAGTATAGAGAATGGTATAATTTCTACCTCTGCCAGAAGGTGGCCTTTAATGATCGACCCACAAGGTAATAAACTTTATTTTTGAACAAAATCTATATATATATAATATAGAGAAGGCAATGAATGTACTCAATCTCTAAACTGCTCCTCTACTAATATTAAAGCTGCACTTTTATAACCTATCTAAACTATAAAGATTTGTTAAATTATAGCTAAAGTTACTATTGAAGAATGAACAAGAATTTTGAGCGTTCCTGTATAATATTTGTTTTGTTTTTACTTTCCTATCTGTATACAGATATAAGGAAAGTATAGGAATCATGATTTTTTTCGACCTCGAGTTTTCGACGGATTTTTACGTTTTGAGGTCCCCTGAATCCGTTTTGACTATTTTCGCGATGATGTCTGTGTGTGTGTCTGTGTGTGTGTCTGTATAACGCATAACTCATGAACCGATACATAGAAAAACACCAAATTTTAAACTTAAGCTTTGTTTTAACGTCCAATGAGCTGATTAGATTTTGGGCAGAGTCGGAACATCTGGGGGGTACTTTATAGGTGGTCATTTTTATATTTTATGGAATATATCTGTTATTTACGTTTGGAGAAGAAAATTCTTCAAATAAAAGTTACTTCTAATATAATTATCTATAATTTTTGTTTTTTGCAAAATTTTCCTAAAATGGTCCGTATTCGAGAAATTTGACAAAATGTAAAAAAAATATTTTTTTATAAAAATTGTTCAAATAAAAGTTGTAATATAATTCTCTATAATTTTTATTCTATACATAATTTCTCTAAAATGGACCGTATTCGAGATATTTGAGAAAATGTGTAAATTTCGAATTTTGAAGAAAACTCAAAAACGGATAAAGAAAAAAACATTAAATTTTAAACTTAAGGTTTATTTCGGCCTGACGTGAAATGATTAGATTTTGGACAAAGTCGGAACATCTGGGGGGGTACTTTATGGGAGGCCGTTTATATATTTTATGGAATATATCTGTTATTTATGTTTGGAGAAGAAAATTGTTCAAATAAAAGTTACTTCTAATATTATTATTTATAATTTTTGTTTTATGTAAAAATTTCCTGAAATGGTCCGTATTCGAGAAATTTGACAAAATGTGCAAAATTCTGATTTTTATGAAAGTTTTTGAATTAAAAGTTGTTTGCGATATCGATCTCTATAATTTTTGTTTATACATGATTTTTCTAAAATGGACCGTAATGAAAAAATTGTAGGAAATTTAAATTTTTCAGTATTTTCGTTTTCCATGAATATCTATAGAAAAATGTTTCGAGGTAGATGTATGTGGACAATGTATATATTTAGTTTATCCTCTAAACATTTATAGAGATGCTGCAATAGGTTGTACAAAATAACCGGAAAAGCCTATAATAACTAGATAGGAAAGTCATGTGTTGGACACATCAGATTTTTAGTTGTGATGATCATGATTTTTTATACCATGATGATCATGATAAAAAAATGTCAAGTATTGTCAATTAATAAAAGTCTAACGCGTGTAAAGTCTATTCAGATTTCATTTACGCCGCGTCAAAACAATTTCTCCCATCCAGCAACATTACATCTACCATTTGCTAGAGTTACGTTTTACGTAATCTTTAATGTGTATCACTTTTACGCATGACGTGCTGTATTAGGATCACATGACGCTATCCTGCAAGTTAGGAATAATTTTAAAATATAAAGTTAAGATGGTTTATATTTTAAGGGCAAGCAAATAAATGGGTGAAAAACATGGAAAAGTACAACAGACTGAACGTCATCAAACTAACAGACGGTAATTACGTCCGAATCATGGAAAATGCCATAACATTTGGTACGCCGGTATTGCTCGAAAACATCAACGAAGAAATCGACGCCATCTTGGATCCCATCTTGGTAAAGACAATTTTCAAACAGCAAGGAGTGTGGTACTTGAAATTGGGCGACAACGTACTTGAGTACAATTTTGATTTTCGATTATACATCACCACTAGATTGAGAAATCCCCATTACTTACCGCAAGTGTCTGTAAAAGTTACGTTAGTGAATTTCATGTTAACGCCACAAGGGCTTCAAGATCAGCTCTTGGGTATAGTGGTGGCTTACGAGAAACCAGAATTGGAGGAAAAGAAGAATTTGATGATTGTCGAAAGCGCTAATAATAAGAAAACGTTGAAGGAAATCGAAGATAAGATTTTGGAGGTAAGGCAAACATAACAATTTTGTAAATAGTTTATATGCTTTTTTATGTCTTTTGACAGCTTCCGCATTACTCTTAATAAGACATGATTATGAATGTAGGTGCTGTCTTCATCCGAAGGAAACATCTTAGAAGACGAAACCGGTATCAAGGTATTATCCACCAGCAAAATCCTATCCGAGGACATCCAAGTGAAACAAAAGCAAGCTGCAATCACCGAAAAAGAGATCGATACGGCCAGAAACGGATACATCCCCATCTCAAAACATTCCGCTGTCTTGTTTTTCTGTATTTCGGATATCGCTAATATAGATCCCATGTACCAGTACTCGTTGGGTTGGTTCGTTAACTTGTATATACAGTCAATATTGAACAGTCCGAAATCTGATAACCTCGAAGAACGATTGGAGTTTTTAACGGCTCATTTTACAAGCAGCGTTTATAAAAACGTCTGTAGATCGTTGTTCGAGAAAGATAAATTGTTGTTCTCCATGGTACTAGCAGTTGGAATACTCAGAGCTAAGGTAAAGTATTCATTTATTTTGTCTGTTTTTTAAAATTACTTGTAATTGTTTTTAGTATATACTGTTCATTGTTAAAACCTTCAAAATCAGTTTATTTTCATTGCAGAATGAGATAAATGAGGATGTATGGAATTTTCTTCTAACAGGAGGAGTGGCGTTGGACAATCCATTTCCAAATCCGTCACCAGAGTGGCTCTCTGAAAAATCATGGTCCGAAATCGTGAGAGCCACTCACTTAGAAGGGTAAAAGCGTTTTTACCTAATTAAATTTTTAATATAATAAAATAAACGTTACCCATTTTCCCAAAAAAAAATCACACATGAGTATTACATTGATTTCAGCTTACATGGACTTAAAGAATCTGTTGAAGAAGATAATGCCTTATGGAGAAAATTCTATGATGTATCAAATCCGAATGAAATCCCTTGTCCACCACCTTTCGAACAAACTCGTGGTTTACAACGATTAGTGCTACTACGCTGTTTGAGACCTGATAAAATTGTACCGGCAGTACAAGTAAGATTTAAGTCCTTAAATGCATCATAATAACCGTTACCATTACTATCATCTTTATTGTGATAATTTTGTAGAACTACGTCGTCGACGAAATGGGTCCATCATATTTAGAACCCCCTCAATTTAATATAGAAGCATCATACAATGACAGTAATAATTGTACACCCTTAGTATTTATCTTATCGGCTGGTTCTGATCCGATGGCTGGATTAATACGTTTCGCTGCTGACAAAGGCATTGCTAAACAACAACTCATGACAATTTCATTAGGCCAAGGGCAGGTAAAGACAATTCGATTTACTTAGGAAGTATATAAATAATTTAGTAAGTAATAATCCCAGTAAGTTTTGGCTAATAATCTCTGTAGGGTCCCATAGCGGCAAATATGATCAGCATAGGTTTGGAAACTGGTAGATGGGCGGTTCTTCAAAATTGCCATTTAGCCGAGAGCTGGATGAGAGAACTGGATCGACTTTGCAATGAAGTAATCGTTCCAGAAAATACACATCCGAATTTTAGATTGTGGTTAACCAGTTATCCTAGCAGAGCTTTTCCCGTATCGATTTTACAAAACGGTAAGATTTGGACTAGATCTTAAATGCTATAAACGCTGAGTAGCGTTGTTCGTAATCAACATGTTGAATTTCCGTTTGAATTTTTATAGGCGTCAAAATGACGAATGAAGCTCCCAAGGGATTGCGACAAAACATCCTGAGATCGTATACGTCGGATCCAATATCGGATCAGACTTTTTACAATCAGTGTCCCAATCAAAAAGCATTTCGTCCGCTGTTATTCTCACTCTGTTTCTTCCACGCCGTTATTCAAGAAAGAAGAAAGTTCGGTCCTCTAGGATGGAACATTCCATACGAATTTAACGAGTCCGATTTGAAGATATGTGTGCTACAACTGCAGGTATGTAGCCATGAAGTCTCCACCCCAATCCTGAAAAACGGAAATTAAAAAAGGCTTTGGAATTAACGTACATTTTTTTCTAGATGTTTCTTACCGATTACCTTGACGTACCTTTTGATGCTCTGTCATATTTGACAGGCGAGTGCAACTATGGAGGTCGTGTGACAGACGACAAAGATAGGAGATTAATTATGTCACTGCTTTCGACGTTTTATGCAACTGATGTTGTACATAAACCAGGGTAAAATACTATTTTGTTATTTATTTAAAATTGAGATCATTTATACGTACAGACTGAAAAGGCCTGTACGATATTTATGAAATTTGATTTATATTATGGCCTATCTTCAATTGGTATTTAAGTTGTTGTCAGATCTTCCGTTTTTATTATTTCAAATAGATCACCCTCTATGTTTTATGATTTTTAAATAACTTAATGAAAAATTTTTCATGTAATATTGCCTTTGTCTGAAAGTTCGTTATATTTTTGGAAAAACAGAAGATCCAACATTAACGTAAAAACTACTTGAAAATCTACTATATTACACATTGAACCCCAAAAACTAAATTTCATAAATATCGTAAAAGCCGTTTCTGGTATAAATTGTATAGTGTTCCATACATTAGCCTCACTCTGTATATTATGCATTTTAGGTATTGCTTCTCGCCAAGTGGAATTTATTATGTACCAGTTGTGAATACTTGGGAAGGTTGCGTTGAATATATTAAAAGTTTGCCAATCAATGCGTCGCCAGAGGTTTTTGGTCTTCATGAGAATGCTGATATTACCAAAGATAACCAGGAAACAGCTAATGTAAATATAAACGTATTCTAGTCTATTCCTAAATTTATTCGAATCAGACTTTATAAGAATTAGAATTTATAAGAATCAGAAATTATAAGGGGTCGCTTTATAAAAATTAACAATTTTATAGAGGTCACATTCCAATTCTTATAATTTCTGATTCTTATAAATTATTATTCTTATAAGGAAACATTTAATGTAAATATAAGTGTATTATAGTATATTCGCTTTATAAAAAAATTAACAATTTTATAGAGGTCACATTCTAATTCTTATAAATTTTGATTCTTATAAAGTCCTAATCGTATAAAAAATTAACAATTTTATAGAGGTTACATTACAATTTTATAGAGGTCACATTCCAATTCTTATAATTTCTGATTCTTATAAAGTCCTATTCGTATAAATTCTGATTTGTATAAATTCTGATTCTTATAAAGTCTGATTCGAATAAATTCTGATTCTTATAAGGAAACATTTAATGTAAATATAAGCGTATTATAGTCTATTCGCTTTATAAAAAGTTAACAATTTTATAGAGGTCACATTACAATTTTAAGCGACCCCTTAGGGGTCGCTTTATAAAAAATTAAAAATTTTGTAGAGGTTACATTACAATTTTAAGGGACCCCGTAGGGGTCGCTTTATAAAAAATAACAATTTTATAGAGGTCACATTCTAATTCTTATAATTTCTGATTCTTATAAATTATGATTCTTGTAAATTCTGATTCTTATAAAGTCTGATTCGAATAAATTCTGATTCTTATAAGAAAACATTTAATGTAAATATAAGCGTAGGTATTATAGTCTATTCGCTTTATAAAAAAATTAACAATTTTATAGAGGTCACATTCCAATTCTTATAAATTATGATTCTTGTAAATTCTGATTCTTATAAAGTCTAATTCGTATAAATTCTGATTTGTATAAATTCTGATTCTTATAAATTCAAATTCTTATAAAGTCTGATTCGAATAAATTCTGATTCTTATAAGGAAACATCTAATGTAAATACAAGCGTATTATAGTCTATTCTTAAACTTTATAAATCTGCCTACCGTGTTGGGGTTTTATTCTTATAAATTATGATTCTTGTAAATTCTAATTCTTATAAATTCTGATTCTTGTAGTCTGATTCGTATAAATTCTGATTATTATAAATTCTGATTCTTAAAAATTCTGATTAGTATAATTTCTAATTCTTATAAACTCTGATTCTTATTAATTTTTATAAATTCTGATTTATATAAATTGATTCTTATAAATTCTGTTGTTTATAAATTCTGATTCTTGTAAATCCTAATTTTTATAAAGTCTGATTCATATAAATTATCAATATTATAAATTCTGATTCTTATAAGATCTGATTCTTATAAATGCTGATTCTCATAAATTTTGATTGTATAAATTTTGATTCTTATAAAATCTTGATTTTTATAAAATATGATTCTTGTAAACTCTGGTTCTTATAAATTTTGATTTTTATAAATTCTGTTTTTATAAATTATGATTCTTATAAATTCTAATTGTTGTAAATTCTAACTTTTATAAATTCTTATTTTTATAAAGTCTGATTCGTATAAATTAGGAATATTATAAATTTTGATTCTTATGAGATCTGATTCTTATAAATTTTGATTCTTATAATCTCTGATTCTTATAATCTCTGATTCATATAAAATCTGATTCTTCTATATACTGACCCTTATAAATACTAATTCTTCTAAATTCCGATTATATATTCTGATTAGAAATCTTTATGGTTTTACCTGATGATGAAGTAATGGAGAATAATATTAGTGATCTACAAAAAATTTTTTCTAAAGTAGGTCTTGAAAAAATGCACGAATATCAGAATGTACAATTTTTTTTAAGTGCCAATTCTGATTTTATTCAAAGCCGTGCGTGACTTTGTGAGAAATAAAGGACCTTTATTTTCACCTTCGTACTCATATTATTATACTCCGTTTTACACCTTAATATTTTTTAGTTGCTATCTGGAGTACTGTTAACGCAAACTTTAGTAACGGGCGGTGGAAGCGAAGGAGATGCTCAAGCAGTGATTATAGATCTCGCCAATGATATTTTAAATAAAGTACCTAATGAATTTGATATTGATTTCGTAAGCGCCCAATACCCAGTCATGTACACCAATTCGATGAATACAGTCTTGAAACAAGTGAGTCTGTCTCTAATAATAACGAAGATATACGCTCACACCCCCTTGACGATGCTAAAGGGCATATATTTTTTTTTGGTTTAATTCTTCGTTCTTTTTGTAGGAATTAATTCGATTCAACAGACTGATTTCGGTAGTGAAAAAAACGTTGAACGATATGATTAAAGCCGTAAAAGGAATTGTGGTTATGTCGGCCGAATTGGAAGACACCTATGAAGCTCTTGTGATCGGAAAACAACCGGGCGCTTGGCAGGGCAAAAGTTATCCCAGTTTGAAACCGTTGGGATCATACGTTACCGATTTGATTCAAAGGTGAATACAAAGGCAGGATGTAATTGAAATATGTTATTGAATGGAACTAGTAGGCATTTCTGATATCATAGTTTATTGGCGAATTAAAATGTATTTTTCTTTTTTTTTGTCCTTTAAGGATGTTTTTCGAAAACTTTGTTCTATTTTCTTTACTGCTGATCTGAACAAATTATTAATAGACATTATACTAGTTGCTGAAACCTCTCAGGTTCTTCTGCATTCATATTCGACACCTTTTTGATTCTCTATATTTCTTCATTTTCTTTTTTAATTATTCACCGAATAGCTCAGCTTTGTCCAAAAAATCCTCATTCTCCTAAATGTTGTATATTTTTTCGAACATTTTCCTATTTTAACAATGTTTTTTAGATTGACATTTTTGCAAGACTGGATCGACAACGGAGAACCTCTAGTGTATTGGTTGTCGGGTTTTTTCTTCACTCAATCTTTTTTGACGGGTGTTCTACAGAACTATGCGCGCAGGAAAAATTTGCCGATAGACTGGATCCATTTTGAATATTACGTGACTGAACATGAAGCTGAAAACGAAAATATGCATATTCCTTTGGGGGTGTACTGCAGGGTAAGATTTATATTATGTCAAACAATCATTTTTTTAATACGTGTTACCAACAATAAATACATGTAAAGTTTCTCGCATGCAGCAAAAAAAGGAAGAAGAAGAAGATAGTGTTTTTATAAAAGTAAGCCTAGAAAAACATGTCTGCAAATTTTTTTATGAATGTGTCCTAATCACATACTTTGATTACTGGTGAAAGAGAGAGGTCCGATACGTCCAACATAGGGCGCGGCCATTTTGATGCCTTTACCACAGTTTATAGCTAAATAATCAGTTCGCTCACTCTGCGTCGGCACTTTTGATCTCAATGTTCCAGTTTATACACTGCGCAACTCGGATAATACAATATATGACATCCGCCTATAATAAAACAGCAGTCTTCTGCGCATCCTGAATTTGTATCCCTGGGGACCTATTTTCAAACTGTGTGAGTACTCATTTCTCTCAAGATTCTCATCAGAAATGTCATACGTCAATGTGGAAATGTTGTTTTTAAAGGCATCGAGGATTAAAATTCTTAGGAACATTTTAATTCTCTCTAAATAAACCGAGAGAAACAGTCAGTGAGTTCACACTGGCCCTAAGAGCCCTAAAAATACGGTTTTACGTTGACGTATGACATTTCTCTTGAGAGAAATGAATTCTCTCGAGTTTGAAAATAGCCCCCCTGGAGTGGATGTTATTTTGGAATATTCAACTGGTCCGAGTGAGCTAACTAATTCTTTAGCAATAAACTGTGCATTTACTACTAGGTTAGGCAACACATATATTTCCCAAATGTTAAACTGGTAGTCTATACATCCAGATATTTAGACAATGAAAAAAGAACAACAAAGTACTAAAAATTAACATACAATCACCAATTAATTAAAAATATTCGTGTAAATCACGTCTAAAACCCAAAATGATATATAAATCCTCAAAACTTGCTCACTGACACTGACAGCAGCAAGCAAAATATTAAAAATATTGCGCCAAGATGTAGGCAACACGTAATAAGGCATCAAAATGGCGGAATTTTCTATCTCCTTTTAAGAGGCACTCAAAAAGCTGCGCAGTGCGACTATTCTCCATATAGTAAGAGAATCAAAGTATGTGGTCCTAATCTATTGTTGCTTTCCTTTTACCAGAATACTTAGGAAATCTTACTCAGATCGATGTGACCTTGATATTTTGCACGTTCCATTTATAAGTACTAAGTAGAACAGAAGTAAAAGTTGGAAATGCTTTTGCCAGTTCTCCCACTTTATACACATAAATTGACAGGTTGGCACCGGATCTCACCGAACTGGACGCGATACATTGGCGTACAAAATTATTTTATAGATGTTAATAACAATTTCGAGTAAATAGTTTAATAAATTGTGAATAGCTGTTGAAATTTTGTAAAATTATGATTTGAATATTATAATACATGTTTAATAATTATTTATAATCCATAAATACATGCGATTGTCCGGTTCCGCCGATAACAATTTAAAATTACTTATTCTATGAAACGACACTGGCAGGTAAACATTACTGCGAAATTCTCGGAGCCGCCCGACGTGGTTTGACGTTTACCCCCTCTCTACCTACCAAAAGACTTTTTAACTTTTACTTTCTCTATAAAGCAAACTAAGAATTTTTACTCTCCCCTTCCCCCTAATAAGGTTTCTCGCTAAGAAATAAGATTTTTATCTAAGTTAGAAGGGGAGTAAACAAGTTGATGTTCTATGTCACAGATCATAATGTTTTTATGGTCTTTTTGTTGGTTGTGGCGTTGATTGAGGTTATGCGTAATTATTATTTATTTATGATCTGTGTTATTTAAATTTCTATTACGAAAAGTTATAATTATATTTATACATTTACCAAAATCGTGACTTTTATTTTATTCTTTACTCTATCCATATTCTATCTGTTAAATTTGTTTATACTTGTAGCCTGTAGCAAAATAAAATTTAAGGTTAGAGTTCTGTCCAGAGCAATGAACTGGAGTGGGGTAGAATGCTTGTCAATAAGCTTGAGATGCGACTCTATGGGCGAAGACAGGTTATTTTTCATCTCACTCGGGAGTATTTATTACAACCATTTTCTATTTCACTTTGTTATTGTCTGATCCACCAGCTTGTGGATTGAACAATAACAATGTGAAACAGAAAATGGTTATTATAAATACTCCCGAGTGAGATGAGAAATAAAAATGGCGGCGCCCATAGAGTCGCATCTTGTTTTATTGATACAATATGCACATTGGCTTTCTACCCCACTCCAGTTCATTGGTCCAGAGCAGGGTTGCCAATCTGTGAGTAATTCCTCACATTTGTGAGTAATTTACTACTCTGTGAGTAATTTTGTGAGTAAAGGGCAATTGTGAGTAATATGTGAGTATTCGAGAAGTCAGCATGGGTATATTCATGGTGTTAGGCAAAATCCTGATCGGATAATTTATTAAAACCGTGTTCTTTTTAAAAATTTTAATATAAGCCTATTTTACCACCCTAGCACTTTTAGCAGTCATTACAATTTTGTAGTTTTAAAATTGCAGCGTCCTCTATTGCTTGGTCAATGTAATAGAGTAAAAGTGATTTTGATATTTTACAACACTAGGTGTCGTGTCGATAGTGATAGTCCCATTCGTTGATTAATATCTTTTTTGTTCATTTTAAAAGTATATTTTTTATTAATAGATTTTTTTAAGTATTAGAATTAATTATTTATTATGATTTGGCCCGTTAATAAAGAAGATACTCTAATTCTCCAAACCTTTTTATCTGTGTTTTTTGTTCAGCTGATTACAAAGAAGTTTTATATATTTCATACATAACTATTCATAACTATTGGGACATAGGCTAAGGGCAGGTTATTTGTACCATTGTACCAAAATATGGTGATAGGGCCAAATATACCTTAATACAATATTGCTGTGGAATAAGATACAGGGCGTTAAATAATAATAGTAATAATTATTTGACACTTTAAAGCAACTTTTCATAAATGAAATATTTTGGGAGTTGTTCAATTGCGTTTTTCTCGAAAACGGGTGAAATGATCTAATCAAAAATACTAAAAAGTTTCGTAAAAAAAGCTACCACTTAATTTCATCATCAGGAATAATTCACGTGGCGCCTCCTGTAACAAAATGTGAAATAATACATAAAATAATATTCCTTGTCAAAAAATATGCCTGTGTGCCAATTTTGATAACAATTCATAAATATACAGTGACATCAGAAAAAAACGAAAAAACAGAATTCAAATTTAACTCCCTGTATCTTATTCCACAGCAATATTTTATTAAGGTATATTTGGTACTATCGCCAAATTTTTGTCCAAATAACCTGTGCCTATGTCCCAATAGTTATGAATCAACCTGTACATTACTTGGTTATTAAAATAGTGAATGCACAGTTTTGACTCTTGTATGTTCTGAAAATTGCTCTTTTGATGTTTGGCAACATTGCACAGTAGTAAAATAAATTCAATCAAAAGTGCACGAATACAAATTATAGCATTTATATATAAAAAAACTAGTAATATTGATATTTTTAAGTTGTGAGTAATTGTGAGTAATCCGGAAAAGTTTTTGAGAGTAAATCGGTAAAGACCGGTTGGCAACCCTGGTCCAGAGATAAGACATAGGTCTGTTCTGGTTTTGAGAAATAACGATCCACAACTGTCGGGCTCATGCGCAGTAGATAAAAAGTGTTCTGGTTTTTCTGGGACTACTTCGGATCTCTCAGTCCAGTGTTCTGGTTTCGTATCCGAAATAATCCGTGATTGTTGTAAACAGTCAAAAAGTGTTCATGCTTGGGAGTGTGGATCGACTCGGACTGTTTTGACCGCGCATGCGTTTTTGAAGTGTTATGAATATTGTATTGGCTTTTTAGACCATACGAAACGTATACAATCCCAAATTGTTTATTTATATGTGGACGAATGTCTCTTGTTCTTGTTTTATTTGTAAATTAAAGCAATTTTAGAATTATTAATTTTTTAATATTCTGTTTTTATTTATTCCATTGAAATGTGATGATAATGATAAACATATACATGCAAATGTTATTTGAAGCTGAGCTTTCAAAAGGAACTTCATTATTATAATAAACAATAAACAAAACACCTTTATGACGTGTTCTGGTTTTCCAATAATTTCAAACAGTCGGGGATTTTTTGCCTTTACGCATACGGTCCGGCGCAGTTTCAAAACAGTTTTCATTTTGAGAACCAGAACAAACCTAAATATGTCTTCTCTCTGGTTCTGTCTTCTGTCAAAATAATACAAGTAAGGTAATTTACTTAAAAGACCGTTCCTTTTGATTATAATTTTCTGGGATAAAATTACTTAGGATCGATTCCACCGTTGTGTTAAACGGAGATTAAAATGACATTGTTAATGTAAAAATTTCATTTTAAACTCCGTTTAACACAACGGTGGAATCGGTCCTTAGTAAAATATCTGACTGACGTCACATGTAAGTCAAACTAACTAAGTAAATTTGTAAAAGGAAAGCGCCTTATATGTTGACATTCAACAATATTGACATGATCGAATCTTGTTATTCTTTGTTAATCATCAGGTAGATGTAGAGTAACCACTACTGCGGCATTAAATCGGAGGTACTAATGGCCAAAACCGTCACTTTTCTCGTTGAACTCTATAAAATTGTATATATAAATATCCTGATAGCTCAAATGTTACAGATTTAGAGAAGTATAGGTATATTAAAAAAAATGTATATTTGGTTTAGGGCTTGTTTCTCGAAGGAGCAAGATGGGACAGAAAATTCAAACGAATAAACGAATCCTACCCCAAAATCCTCTTTGACACGATCCCCATCATGTGGATGAAACCAGCGGAGATATCGCAATTCGTGCCATTGCCATCTTACACTTGTCCCGTTTACAAGACTAGCGCTAGACGAGGAGTTTTAGCGACCACTGGACATTCTTCCAATTTTGTCATGTTGATCTCTTTGAACTCGCATTTGCCGCAGAAACACTGGATAAATCGTGGGGTAGCATCGTTGTGTCAACTGGACGATTGATTTTAATATTATAATAAATTAGTGATTTTTAATAAAGGTTTTAAAATTGCGTCGTTTTTTTTTTTACTGAATTGTCTTGTTTTCTAATTTAGTCTAGTCTGCATGGATAAAGCTGTATCCTAAAGAGTCAAGAGGACATCTCCTGAAATAAATTTCAGTTGCTTTATGTTTCATTCGATTTTCATAACTTTTGCAGTTAATTATAAAGATTTATTATTTAGGGCAGAAACAGTATTAAAACAAATTTTATTAATATACTAGTAGACCCGACAGACGTTGTCCTGTCTTAACTATGAATATTGATTTCGAATTGGTATAATTAACTAAAAAAATATTTCAGAAACAAAGTGTTTATTATTCTAATGCTTTATGATATACTAATCCGATCGAAGCATCTGTTTTAAACGATTTGCAGCACGCATTCTGTCAATGTTATATCAAACGCCATAAGGTTACATCAAAAAAGTTTAATTTAATATGGTGGTTAAGTATTCTTAAATTTTCTAAATTTCCGCGCAATTTCTTAATTTTTTCTTTCATAAGAACCTTCTCGTGACAATAACAAACACAACGAAAAAAGAATTAGCGAAATCGGTCCAGCCGTTCACGCGTGTTGCCGTGACCAAGGGAAACAGAGATTCATTTTTACTTTCCTATCTGTATACAGATATAAGGAAAGTATAGGAATCATGATTTTTTTTTCGACCTCGAGTTTTCGACGGATTTTTACGTTTTGAGGTCCCCTGAATCCGTTTTGACTATTTTTGCGATGATGTCTGTGTGTGTGTGTCTGTATGTCGCATAACTCATGAATCGATACACAGAAAAACACCAAATTTTAAACTTAAGCTTTATTCCAGCGTCTAATGAACTGATTAGATTTTGGGCAGAGTCGGAACATCTAGGGGGGTACTTTATGGGTGGTCATTTTTATATTTTATGGAATATATCTGTTATTTACGTTTGGAGAAGAAAATTCTTCAAATAAAAGTTACTTTTAATATAATTATCTATAATTTTTGTTTTATACAAAATTTTCCTAAAATGGTCCGTATTCGAGAAATTTGACAAAATGTAAAAAAAATATTTTTTTTTAAAAATTGTTCAAATAAAAGTTGTTTGTAATATAATTCTCTATAATTTTTATTCTATACATAATTTCTCTAAAATGGACCGTATTCGAGATATTTGAGAAAATGTGTAAATTTCGAATTTTGAAGAAAACTCAAAAACTGATAAAGAAAAAAACATTAAATTTTAAACTTAAGGTTTATTTCAGCCTGACATAAAATGATTAGATTTTGGACAAAGTAGGAACATCTGGGGGGCACTTTATGGGAGGCCGTTTTTATATTTTATGGAATATATCTGTTATTTATGTTTGGAGAAGAAAATTGTTCAAATAAAAGTTACTTCTAATATTATTATCAATAATTTTTGTTTTATGTCAAAATTTCCTGAAATGGTCCGCATTCGAGAAATTTGACAAAATGTGCCAAATTCTGATTTTTATGAAAATTGTTGAACTAAAAGTTGTTTGCGATATCGATCTCTATAATTTTTGTTTATACATGATTTTTCTAAAATGGACCGTAATGGAACAGTGCTAAATTTAAATTTTTCAGTATTTTCGTTTTCAATGAATATCTATAGAAAAATGTTTCGAGGTAGATGTATGTGGACAATGTATATATTTAGTTTATCCTCTAAACATTTATAGATATGCTGCAATAGGTTGTACAAAATAACCGGAAAAAGCCTATAATAACTAGATAGGAAAGTCATGTGTTGGACACATCAGATTTTTATATTAGAAATAATTTAATATGGTGGTTAAGTATTCTTAAATTTTCTAATTTTTCGCGCAATTTTCTTAATTTTTTCTTTCATAAGAACCTTCTCCTGACAATAACAAACAAAACAAAAATTAGAGAAATCGGTCCAGCCATTCACGCGTGATGCCGTGACCAAGGGAAATAGGGAATCATTTTTATATATATTTGACGATTTTCTAATTTTTCGCGCAATTTTCTTAATTTTTTCTTTCATAAGAACCTTCTCCTGATAATAACAAACACAACAAAAAAAGAATTAGCGAAATCGGTCCAGCCGTTCACGCGTGATGCCGTGACCAAGGGAAATAGGGATTCATTTTTATATATATATAGAAATTTTCTAATTTTCCGTGCAATTTTCTTAATTTTTTCTTTCATAAGAACCTTCTCCTGATAATAGCAAACACAACAAAAAAAGAATTAGCGAAATCGGTCCAGCCGTTCACGCGTGATGCCGTGACCAAAGGAAATAGGGATTCATTTTTATATATATTTGACGATTTTCTAATTTTTCGCGCAATTTTCTTAATTTTTTGTTTCATAAGAACGTTCTCCTGACAATAACAAACACAACAAAAAAAGAATTAGCGAAATCGGTCCAGCCGTTCACGCGTGATGCGGTGATCAACGGAAATAGGGATTAATTTTTTTATATAGAGAAAGATGCGAAAAAAAGGGCTGTTTTTAGGGGTTTCCCGGAAATTATTCGAATTTTTCTCGCCGTAAAAACCATCCTTGAACTTCAACGAACATTTAAAAAAAAGAATTGGTAAAATTGGTCCAGGCATTGTTGAGTTATGCGCTTACCAACACATTTTGCGATTCATTTTTATATTATAGATTTTTTTAATAATAAATCGATTTTTTGGAAAAAAAATAACGTGTATTCCCCAGTCTATAATAAACCAAAAAAAAATTTGCTGAAAATGTGAAGCCAGTATTAATTATTGACTAGTGACTTAATAAGTCTATTGCATCTTGCATTAATTTTAATTCAAAGAATTTCACTTAACTTATCACAGACTTATGAGATTGCCACCATTTCATCGAATGTAAACCCTTTTTAGTTACTAAAATAATAAAATGAAATAAAACAAGTTTTATATTTTTTATTTACAGTCTCTTATCAATTCTTAACATTGATTCATTATACAGTATTGTTTTATAATATATAATATTATAATAACAATAAATCAATGACATCTGCATTCATTATTAAGCGTTTATAATTTTACTATGCTATAATCTCGTTGATTTCATTCAGCAGTAGAATTATTACATAAAATTATTTACAAAATAAATAATTTTTCACATGTGCTTTTTTTAATATTTGAAAATGTTATAACTTTTGCATAAAACATTGTTCAAAAATAAAATAAAATAAAATAAAGGTTAAGTAATGGCTAAATATTTATAATAAAAAAATAAATCTGTACTTAGCACTATAAAATTTACAAACTATCATCAGTCATGTCTAAAAATTGGGCACATGTTTCTCTTACATACTCCCCCTTTAAATTAAAAACAAATTTATAGTAGCAGCCATCACCACAAATCACTGGAAAATAAAATAGTTTTAAAATTATATTTACATGTTTCAAAAGTACTGATAACTTACCAATTACGGAATTATCGTCTGTACCAAAAGCACAAATGCATGGAGGACCATTTGGTACAGAAAATTTGCAAAACGACCATGTGGATGAGAAATATTTTGGCAAAAACATAGAATTAGCTAATGGTGACTGCTTGTTTAATTTTTGATCACCCAATGCAAAAACATGCACAGTTCCATGATCTGATGATACACATAATGATGTTGAACTTTTGTTAAAGTTGATACAGTATATCATTGCCTAAAATATTTTCAAGGATAATACCACAAAGGGTGAAAATTCTTTGACAACATATTGTTGTTTCCTTAGAAATTGCATAATTTGTAATGAAACAACAAAATGTCCCAAAAAAATTATTTAACAACATAAACAGAACTTTTATAATCATTTGCTTTATGTATGGAAGATGAAAATCAATAGTATCTTTATTTACAATGTGTATTTGAACAACAAAAACAACCTTTTGACCAACTTCATGGGATTGAGTGAAAACACTACACCATTTTATAAATATTTGTAATGAACTGTATTTTTATTATTATTTATTCAATAAAGAGTTTATTTAATAAAAGAGTGTTCTTATAGAGTTTTGAGACATTAATAATTTACTTCCTTTGATAAATTTAATTAGTTTCTGCACAAGTTTGATAAGAATGTGAAGTGAATTGTAACATTAAATAACTAATAATTTGGTTTAGGAACTTTTGATATATTTTAGAAATTACCTGATTGCTCCCTCTCCTCAATTCATTAACTTTTTGTCCATTCTGTGTATTAAACACTCTTATAAGAGTACCTTTCTCACTAGCAGTTGCTAAAAGAGTTCCTTGTTGATTCAATGAAACACAACTGAGATTAGCCTCATGGGCCACTATATCCAATGGAGATTTTTCAGTTTTCGCTAAATCTACCAGTTGTACATGGCCAGTTTTCCTACCAGGAAAGGCTAATATAGAATTGTTGCTGTTGGGACAAAGGACACACAACCCTTTAGGATTTGAACTAGTTTCAAATACATGAAGTTGCTGAGGACTTTGAGTGAATGTATACACTTTGATGACACCTTCTAAAATTAATTTTAATTAAATAGAATCGAAATTATGAAAATTAAAACTAATCTTACCTAAAACTACAACTATTCTATCTCTCCTTAATCTAACTGCCAACACTGGAGCATTAAAGTCCAATGAAATTGCTGAACTCTTTTTTATGTCATCCCATACCATGACTTTGTTTGTGGGACAAAGGGGCCGTGAACCACCACCAACCAATGCCAGATAGTTACATCTGAATAACATTTCAACAAAACTGAGACCACCATTTTCAAAGTCTTGTCTTTCTTTTTCCTTTAATGGATCACAGTTATATATTCTAAAGCCGGTAGATGTAGCGCAAGCAAAACAACCTAGAAATGTTCAAATTATAGTTCTATTCAAATGCACTGCATTTCTTTAATAATAAATAGCATATTGATGAACCATCAAAATGTCAATATTTTACTTACCATGATCTTGGTTGAAACCTACATAATTCAAACCATTAGCATATGAATTATTCGAACATAAATTCATTTCGTTTATGTTTATAATTTATATTATTCATAGATAAGTATATTTTACAAATATCTGCTATAGATAGACATATAATTGTGAACACTAACCTTACAATTTGTAATATTATGGTTTTGATTTTAGATACCTGTCAAAATGCTTCTTCTTTAATTTTTGGAGGCCTCCGCTGCCAGGGCTGTCAAAATGTGGATTACTATGAACTGATAGTTTAGACATGGCAACCACATGGCAACACTGTGGGTCTGTTAATGATGCATGTAAAGTGATATGGATTGTTCAAATCGCGTAGTTTGGCGAGCGACCATATTGCCTAGCAAATGCTCAATAATAAGGACCGTTTCCACCGTTGTGTTAAACTAAGTTTAAAATGACATTTTTACAATAACAATGTCATTTTAATCTTCGTTTAACACAACGGTGGAATCGGCCCTTAGACACATACGCCACCGTAGCGATACATGCAATGTTTCGCAGTCTTATTTGCGAGCTATCTATATAACCATATATCATTGGTTCTTTACTAACCTAACCTAATTTCCAAAATAGAAGACCATTCGGAAAAAGAAGAAGAAAAATAACATAGCCTTTTTTCACCTAATTTGTTTTGTATTTTGCATTAATTTTCGGTTTTATTTTTAAAATAAAAATAATAAACTCAAATAAAAAGATAGAAGAAGGAAGAAATAATTTTATAATTAATTTTAAAATATCAATGGGCGAAATGCTTAAACAACTACGAGAAAAATCTCGTAAGCGCAAAATGTTGTTAGCACAAACTGTAAGTTCAACTTTAATTGTTTTATTTATATTTATTTAAAATGTTTTAGTTTGGGGTATCTGGTGCAGAAGAATTGAGGACAGTTTTGGGAACAGGAGAAACAACACATGAAAAGTCGGTTAGCAAAGAGAACACCAATGACAATGAAAAATATGATTATAAGAATAAAGACTATTCAGATGAGCTCATTTATAAAGATTCGTCCCTATTTTTAAAGGTAGGAAGTTTAATAATTTATAACAGTTGCTACTATGTTTTTGTCTTAGAAAAAATAAATTAAGAGCATACATTACTTATAAATTCTGTAGCTTATAGGATATTTAATTAAAACCTACTATAAATATTAAAGGGTCTCATCATAATAGAAAGTATATAGGTAGTCCAATAAAGAAAGGGAATGTTTTGCATGGAATTTCTGTTATAATTGAGAAGCAACACCAGTTTGTGGTTTGTTATAATTTTATACTCACCTTGGTAATTTACTCTTACAAAAAAAGCTTTATAGTGAACTATAAAAACTGAAAACTACTTTTATTTGTTCAGGGAACTCAGTCTTCCAATCCCCATAATGATTATTGCCAACATTTTGTGGACACTGGTCAGAGACCTCAGAATTTTATTAGAGATGTGGGCTTAGCTGATCGTTTTGAAGAGTACCCCAAACTCCGTGAACTGATCAAACTCAAGGACGAATTGATTCAAGAAACAGCCACACCTCCAATGTACCTCAAATGTGATCTAATGAACTATGACTTAAAAACTATTAATAGCAAATTCGATGTGATATTAGTTGAACCACCTTTAGAGGAGTATCAAAAGACTATGGGTGCCACAAATATGCAGTTTTGGAGTTGGGAACAAGTGATGAGTTTGGATATTGGAGAGGTGGCTGCTCAGAGAAGTTTCGTGTTTTTGTGGTGTGGCAGCTCTGATGGTCTTGATATGGGCAGGATATGTTTGAGGAAATGGGGTTTTCGCAGGTGAGAAATGTCACATCTTTTGTTCAGGTCACAATTAAAATTGTGTACAGGTAGCACAAAAAAATTACATTTCAAAAACTTGTTGTTTTTGAGTTTAAAAAAAAATTAATTAAAACTAGAATTATTGTTTCTCTGTTTAATAGATGTGAAGACATTTGCTGGATAAGGACCAACATAAAAAATCCAGGTCATTCAAAAAATTTAGATCCTAAAGCAGTATTTCAAAGAACGAAGGAGCACTGTCTGATGGGAATTAAGGGCACTGTCAGGCGATCCACAGATGGGGATTTTATTCATGCCAATGTCGATATTGATCTAATTATTTCTGAAGAAAATGAGTATGGGAGCCTGGAAAAGCCTGTGGAAATTTTCCATATTATTGAACATTTTTGTTTGGGTAAATAAAAATGAATTATTAATGTTTCTTTTCATACCCTATCTGTTTTTGATTTATTTTTATTTATATGCAATTTTGTTTTTAATTTTTTTTTACTTTTATGGTTTTTCTTCAGACAATTTTTAGTTACTGATGTATTCCTTGTCATCAACATATAATGTGACTTAGTTTTTTGTCAAAAGTATATTTTTGTAATGTGGTAATAAAAATTACAATTAAGGAATCCATCCCCACAAATCCAAAGTGAAAACACCAAAAAAAGTTTAAAACATTGAGAGAAATGTGTTAGAGATAAGGAGGCATACACTCAGAGGTTTAGGTTTGATCCCTGGCTTGCATCATTTAATTTTCGAATCTTTAACTGATATTAACTCTCCCTTTTTCACAAATATCTATAATTGTATTTTTTTATGTAATAGGTCGAAGAAGACTTCACGTATTTGGCAGGGATAGCACAATTCGCCCTGGATGGTTGACAATAGGTCCAGAGCTAACCAATTCCAACTTCAATTCAGAACTCTATACAAGCTACTTCAATCCTACTACTATAACGACCGGTTGTTCTGACAGAATTGAAGCTCTGAGACCTAAAAGCCCGCCAGCTAAGGGCAAGGGAAACTCGGGGAATAGAGGGAGGAGTAGTTTTCAAAGGGGTAGAGGAAGAAGTCGCTAGTTTTTCTATTAGTATTAGGTAGTAGATTGTTGCTATATTAAAATACCTATAATGATATAAGTAATATTAAAATGTGTTTTTATATTAATGTGACTAAGTTTGGAGAAGCAATTTTTTTAATAAAATATAAAATTATCTTCATACTTTTTTTTTGAGGGCAAAATCTATGGATTTAAAATATGTATAATAAAGGGATAGTTGGAAATGAAAAAGTCGATTTAGCTGTAAAAGAATCCATTCTTCTTCCAACTATTAGTAATATTCATTCTCCACAGGATATTATTCATGCAATGAAATGAAATGTTAGATCAAGCTGGGAGAAACTTTGTTCCTCATTCAAATAACCCATATACATTTATTCACCCTGTTCTTCCAAAGTCTATTCCCCACATTACAAATTTTAAAATGTCTAGGTACTATTGTACGACTTTAACAAGGATGAAACTAGATCATGGGGGTTTTCCGTCTCACCTTTTCAGAATTGATCTTAATATATCACCTTTCTGTCAACTGATATCAACCACCTCATTTTTTTCTTGTAGCCACCATAATTCTCATCGTTCAGATTTTCTTAAAAAACTTTCAACTTTCTTCCCTAAATATCCTTTTTCCATCAAGTATTTCTATTTTATTAAGTTCATTTGATGAGAAAATATATAACTTAATTATTGAATTTTTAATTAAAGAAAATATTAAAATATAAATAAATAATTTACAAAAGTCTGTGGCAACAAAAACTACGTTTAGATGCCGGATCGCCCTACTCTGGGGCCGGCCCTGGTCGTGAATAAGGTATGTGTAAAGTCTATTCAGATTTCATTTACGCCGCGTCAAAACAATTTCTCCCACAAAGCACATAGAGGTTCCACGTGAATGACCAAGGTCAAAACCGACAACTGACATTTATTATGCTATTTGCTCCAAACTCTAGATGGGGCTACTGGTGAAATTTTAAGCTTTATGGGAGAAAAACAACCAAAAACTCCAAAGATGTGACGTGTATTTATTTATGTTTTTGGTTAGTCGCATTTTTCCGTCTGATTTTAGTGATTTTTTGTTGGCTTTAGTTTCTGTTTATAGTTTCGTCTTAGTTAATTGCAAAATTGTGATGTTTTGCTTTTCTATTTCCTACTGTGTTTTGCAATAACTTTGGTGCTACGTTAAAAATTTCGAAAAAAACTTCATTGATTTACCATGCATTATAAAAAACGGGTAATCAATTTATCACTGGACTAGATTCCGAAATCATTTTTCACATAAGAGTATACCATTTGTATTTGGAAGGAAAATATTTATCAGTGAATGAATAGTTAAAAGGATTCAGCTTACGAGCTAGGAGGTGCCTATCATCTTAGGGGATGCACAATGGGCCTAATGAGACACAAGTGCCGTGGGGTTAACCCACCCTCCACACGTTACAGAGAGAGGATTCACCTTTTAACACAATACCTATATTACATTTATCCTTCAGGTAAAAAGACATTTATAAAATATAACTTTAGTGTTAATAAAATGTTATATCCTAGTTTCTACTTCACATTTCAATATATTGATATTGTAAAGATTTGAGATTGTATACCTATTTACTCCAAGTAAGTATTCGTTAAATATGTATTATTATTTGTATTTATTTTGTTCTAATAATATTTATTTAAGTTATTAATAAACATATTTTAAGAATGTTCTATTTATTATTTATTGATATATCTTATATTTTATTTAATAATAATATACAGAACCAACTCTCCAAATTAGACCCATTATAACAAATTAATTCCTTAAATTTGGCATATCGACCTAAATTATTTTATAAAATAAAAGTTTCGAACTTACTAGTTCCATACTTTATTTTATAAAATAATTTATGTGGAAATCATTTAAAATTTAGAACTATTACCTACTACTAAAAATTATAATTTGAATTTACCGCCATCTGTCAATTGTCATTTTAGTTCCTGCTCCAAACTCAAGGTGGCGCTAATTTGGTTTAAAAGTCTACCATTGGCGTGGGGTCTCTAGAAGATACGTGCTTTGTGATTTCTCCCATCCAGCGACAGCTCACGTGGCATTTTTTTGCGCTTCTATTAGTTAATCGGTCGTTAGTCATTTAGACGACGGGCAAATATTTTTTGTCAGAGTCGAATTCAGTTCAATTTGGATAATTATAAACGGCGTTTTGGTAGCATTCGCCGTGTTGGTTAGTTTGGACATTTTGTATGTTTGATTGATTAGAATTTATTTTTTTTTGTTTTTGTGCTTGTTGTTAGTTTGAACATGTTTTACTCTATTTTATGGACATTTAATTGACTATATTTTGTAATTGCTGCGTGACACTATGTCCTCCATAGATATACAGCAGATGAAGTCCAGAAAAACGTGTTTACTCCTTCTAAAAAGCGACTGAAAAAGGGACATTTGGTCATCCGTACTAAAGAAATGGTTCTTAATAAATATAAGCATTAAATTTTATAGAACCCTGATATGTTGGTACATGATGTTGAAGGGAGAGTTGCTGATAAAAGAGGGATGTGCGCTAAAACCGTTTTTAATGTTATGAAGGATTATAGGCAGATTCATACATTTTCTGAACCAAAAAGAAAGCTACGTTATAAACAAATTAGTGGCTCTGTGGATTATTTTGATAAAAATGCAATAAGGCGCAAAGTACATCAATTCTTCTTTAGAAATTAACTTCCAACAATTGATAAGGTTTTATAAGAAGTCAACGATGATCCATATTTGTCAACTTTTAAGCGAGCTACATTTTACAAGCTTTTCAAAACCCTTAATTTTAAATTTAAAACTCGAGGAAAAAATAGTTTGCTTTTAGACAAAAATGAAATTGTTTCGTCCTACGCCACAAAAAATAAAACGGTACAGAGAAGAAAAGCAAAAAATATATTATCTTGATGAGACTTGGATTAACGCAGGCCACACCAAATCAAAAGTATGTTTCGATATGTCGGTTTTTCATCCTTTTTAGATGAACTTTTAACTGGTTTTAAAAACCCATCAGATATGTGCGTAAAAACAGCTCATTATATGCCATATTGGAAGTAAAGAAGGCTTTGTCTCTAATGCACTTTATGATTTGAGTTGAAAAATCCGGTGACTACCATGAAGAAATGGGTGGAGAATCGTTCAAAGAGTGGTTTTCAAACACCCTACCAAAATTATAAGATAACTGCATTATTATTCGAGAAAGCTGGAAAAAATATCTACGACGTCTAAAAAAGGTGATATTTAAAAATGGCTATAAGGGAAAAAAATTGAATTCGTCTACCAAATGCTTAAGATCCCACTTCTAAAACTGGGTAAGCAACATAAACATTATGATAGGTAGGTATGTAATAGATGAAATGGCTAAGCAGCAAAACAACATAATACTTCACATGTCTCCGTATCATTGTGAACTTAACCCTATTGAATTAATCTAGGTTGACGTTAAACAATACGTAGCAGATAAAAACTCAACATTTAAATCTGGATTCTTTTTGAAGTAAAAATGTGGGAGTTGGATATTATTATAGAGGTTCAGGTAGAACCACTTGTAATATTGATTAATGAAGATAGCCTTTTAAGTCTAACTAATTTATCCGATTCAGAATAGTGCTAAGTCAAGTAAGGAAGATCGCTATAATACAGGATACAAGTTGTATAATCTAATTACTAGTAGAACAAGAACAATAAAGAACAAAAGTTATCAAAAATACAAAAGGTTTCTTTTAAAGATGCACAATTTTAAATCAAATACCAAATACCTCTTATATTTAAAGTTTTTTTAATGCTTTTAGTAGATATATATTAGCTATTAAAGAATTTGCAATTATTTGGACACCCTGTACAATATAATTTTATAATATGATTGTTTTAATGCTCTGTATCACAGTAGATATATGTAATGAACTAAATATAATGCAACCATCTCTTTTAAAGTCAAATACATTTATTAATTTGTATTGCAGGTTAACGCAGTTTATGTCGCTCACCTCCCAATAAACATTTACGGTAACCAGAATTTTTATAATAGATATAAAATAGTAACAAATTTATATAAGAAGGTTTCGGAGTTTTATAACCTAAACCTTTTGGTAACCAGGTTTTATAATGGTTTTATAACATTACTAGCAGTTATGGGTATATAACAAGGTAACAGAACTATTTCCATCACCATTTTATAAAACTTTAAGTAACGGTTACTAGTGGTTTTATAAAAAGGTGACATATGGGTTACCGTAACTCTATTTATATAACTAAAATACCTTAAGTTTTTTAATGGTGTCGTAAATTACCTTTATAAAAACTGGTAGGAAGTGGTGTTGACTATATTTGTTATAAAACTATTGGTTATTATATCGCCTCTTTTATAAAACTTTGCAACCATCAGTAATACAAATTATCCTAATATCATTTGTCATTTTTGTTATTTTTTTATTATATATGGCTTACGGCTTGCTAATATTTTTGTAGTGAGATATTATTATCATGAATATCTGGAAAAAAATTAAGCATAGCACGCCATTTCGTCGAGATATTATATTCCTTATCATATAACCTGAAAAGTGTAAGTAAAAACTTGAAAAGTGTGAAGACCGAATGCAATCGAAATCAACCTGATGATGAAGAAACACAAATTCTTGATCAAAGTAATGATATCAGTACAACAACTTTACCTCTATTACATGTAGCTGAAAATGAGTCCTTGGAAATAGTTGACAATGAATACCACAATAAATGGTCGTATGTCAAAAATATATTTCGTTTTTTAGAGCAGGGCTGTGGCACTCAGTCTGTCTCCAGTCTGGAATTTTCATCGCGTATATTTTTGTGTATAATGCTCTTTTTTTGGAAGAAGGCCAATAAAAAGTGCCATCCTTTTCCCAAGCTGATGGAACAATTGTAAGTAGAGGCCCCTTAGCTCCCGGTTCTTTAGTTTGCACTATTTTGGAAGACAGTGAAGATAATTTAATAATTTCAGGTTATGGTTGCTCGTGGACGGAGGTTAAATTTTTGACATCACGTTTGACAGAAATGAATTACCGTTTTGGTTTCATTATGGTAACAAGTATTACTACAAATTATATAAAGGAATTTTATAGGTTGTTAAGTTTTATATTGCAACTATAAGATATATATTGTTACTACCAGTTATATAATATTACTTTTAGTGATATTCTTGACGTCTTAAGTTATATAAGGGTGCTCAGATTCCGCCATACTTGTTTACAAAAGTCTTAAAAATACTGGAAACGAACCATATACACAAAAACTTAATAATTAACCTATTTTATTAAATAAATCATAAATAAACATGTTTTGGTTCTGATGAAATATCGAAATAGTGAATTTTAGTAATAAGCTGTGAAATTAAATTTGGTTCATACATTTAAAGTAAAAATATAAACTAAAAATAATTATTAGTGGAAATTATAGTGGCCCTTACGTTTCTTCGAAGTATTTTATTAACTTTCGCAATGAAATACGATTCCCACCAAAATTTAAAGTCACCCAACAGTCAGTAAAGTCCAACAATAACAGTACATATGTTTTTTTTAATTTTATCGTGATTCTCCATTTTTGTTTCTATCGATGATGCCTAACCAGAACATCAAATTTTATTTTATTATTAGAATAGAGAAAGATTATAAATAAATAAGTGTATCAGAGAGAGAAGAGTAAATAGGTTTTGACAAATGACAGAGTGAGAAATGTCATTGTTCAAGTAACGGAAACATTACCAAATCTATTATAGGCAAGTTATATAAAGGTTGTCTAAATATATACAACACTATATTATATTACTATAGGTGTTCAAACGAATTTATTTGTAAGTTATTTAGTGGTTTCCACAATGTTTCTGTTACTATTACTTATACAACTTTAAGTTATTAGCGTTACTAAACAAAGGTGTTCGCAACCTTTATAAATGCCCCATTTAAGCTCTTTAAGAGGTTTATAGCAGCAAGAGAAATGTTACGGTTGCTAAATATATAACTGTAAGTTTTATAAGTAAAGTGTCGTAAAAGTAACAATCAAAAATGTTTATTAGGCTATCTTCGTCCAGAAATGTCACTAAAGTCTGGGAGACCGTGTATGGCATTTATTTTATAGTTTTGGTTTACAAAATATGTTTTTATCGTAATTAAAAAATAATTTCATAATTACACTCTTTTATTTTACATTTTTGCAAGACGGAAAAGTAAAATACGGCCCTGCTCAATTTCAGCGTCCACCTGCTTCTGTTTACATCAGGCGTAAATTAAATTTGAATAGACTTTAGTTCGTCAGCTTGTCTGGTTTCATACCTAAGTATATTTCTATTAGTTACAAACATTTATTTATTTGTATAGGCACATTTCAAAAATAAAAATACAACAAAGGGGTAATATGCCATATTCCTTGAAGTATGGTCGACAAGAGCCTCTTTGTGAAATCTTAGCTATGCTTCTCAAGACCCTATTTTAAACAAGAAGAACATTTATAGATTGGGTTGAATTTCCCCATAAGCATACACCGTATCTTAGACGTGAGTCAACTTGTGCAAAATACACCATAACTGAACGTAAAATCATGAAAAGAAACTTTTGCGAGTTAATTTTTTTGACCAGTCCTCTAGAATGGTCTTTCCAATCAAGGAGTTGATCTATTTGGTTTCCTAGAAAGCGAATGCTATTATTCCCATTATAAAAGACATTTTCAAAACTAATTTCTAGGGTCTCAACGTTATGTTGCCTGTTATGAAATCTAAGAACCTCAATCTTATCTAATAACATCCCGTCCTTTTCTATGACAATAATTGGGACAGAACTTTGCCTATTCGTAATTTTTGATAAACAAGCCTTAATAGTATTGTCTGATTTTAGAATACGTTTTTGAAAGTGTTCTTCATTCTTTGAATTACTTTTCTTAAGTTAATTATATATTTCGGTAAAATGAGGATTTCATTTTTTAATACAAAAAGGTCTTTTAGGCAGCAATTTCGGCATCCATCCAACATTTTTTGTTTTGCAGGAAAGCAAAAATTAAAAAGATTTTTAAAAATGTCAAAAGTACGAAAATACATAATCAAGGGTACTAATATTATTTAAAATTCACTGAAAAGACCTTGTTAAAACTGGTCTATATTATGTTCGCTAAAATTTCTTTTCGCTACATTTATTTTAGAAACCTTTTCTAAAAGTTTAAATAGATTGAAATCGCACCACTCATGCCAGTTAATTTTTCAGACTAGTAGTAATGAGACCCCCATGCATGGATTGTGTTAAAATTTCAATCTCGGAGGGGGTCATGTGCCCCTGGAGCTGCCCTTGATTTAAGTTTCCCTTTCGTATCCTAGAAACAATTTTAAGCATATTTTGATTGTCACTTTGTATACAAATCTTTCGGGATTTTTCGGGAAATGGCCAAACATCTCGAATTTTCGAAAATTTTCCTTACATCAATAGAATCGGGTCAAACAGATTTCTAAATATATCCACTCGCGTTTTGATAAAACGCCAAGTTACATTCAATAATATATAAACCAAGCTGCACTAGTTTGATGACAAATTATTAGTAATATAGTAATACAACAAAGTGAGGTACAAGGATATCTGAATTATGGGTGAAAACGTAAGTTTAAAAAATTATTTAAGTTTGGTTTTACTTGAAAATTGACGCTAACGTAATGCATGTAAAAACGTTGACTTTATCTCGTTTAAAAAATATTATTTTGTGGGTTCTCAAATTAATAATATCAGCTATATTGTGTGATAATTTATATTCAAAAAATCAACTGCAAAAATAGTCAAATAAATTATTGAAAATGTAGGTAATTTACCAAACTGATTATTGCAGCTTAATTTAAATTATCTTGTTTAGTTATTGACTAGGAAATGTATTGTAACATATTCTGTTTAAATATTAGAACCCGTATAAGTGAGCACTTGTTTTTTTGGAATTTTGAAAGGTTTTTTTGAACAAATTATTTTTATTTTAGTAAAATTACATCCTTATAATGTCATCTACGGTACACTTCTTACCCAAATATTATTATTTTTTTTATATTTTTTTGTTTAAATTATTAAAAATCAAATCAGAAAAAAAATTTGGTAAAGTTTGCAACTTATAATATAAAAAACAAAATTTCGCTTTAACTATATACATTTATTCATTCCAAAAAAGTTCGAGATCAAACTCCCAATACTATCTATTAAGATTTCGAGAAAATTTATCGACTCCAGATGTTATTTCATTACTGACTTCAAAATCTCGACGAAGGACTGTACTTTTTATGTAAATTTTTGGACCTTGCTAAGGCGTTCGATACAATGAACCACACACTTGAAGGTATTAAAAAAACTAGGGTTTATAGGTGCCCCGTATGACTTATCTATTTAAGAGCTATAATATATAAGAATAAACAATTTGATACATTCATACCATAGGCAAATTTTACTTCTTTATTTCATCTTCTTGTTCTTTCTCGGATTCCATTTTGTTCTGATAATACATCAATCAATGCTACTTTTAGGATTTATTTACAATCAAGAAAAATGAAAAAGTTGGACGATTTGCAGTTGCAAAGGAAAATTTAAAGGCTGGCGACGTAATCTTTTCAGAGATACCTTTCGCATATGGCCCCAAGTCAGGTGAGAACTTGTAGATAGAAGGGTTTACTTAATTTTAAGTCAACAATACGTTACAGTCTTTTAAAATGGTTTTTGTTCCGAGAAATTTGCGTTTTTATAGAATTCAAGATTTAGAAGAAAAAAAATTATAACAAAACCACTCAATAATAAGAATGATCATTTGAACATCCTGTATATTTTTAATTTATAGACAGTCCCGTAATATGCTTGGGTTGCTACAATTATCTAGAAACTATAAACCTTTGTTCAAAATGTTCCTGGCCAGTTTGCAATACAAACTGTCAAAACAAATCCGCTCACAAGGACTTTGAATGCGAAGTATTCTCCAAAGCAGGCGTTAAATTTCAAACGGTTGAAGATCCATCTGAAGTTTGTCTACAATACGAATGTATCACACCTTTGAGGTTTGTTAATCGAAAAATTAAATAACAATAATACAAGAAATAGGAAAATATACAGTAAATAATATACAAATAAATATTAAAAAGAAATACAGTCATAAAAATTTTAAAAATAAAAAAATTAATTAGTAATAAATTGATCAGAGAGCTGTTCATTTTGTATCAAATTAAGATAAAGCATTTTGTTTTCAGAGTTCTATTGGCTACAGAGAAGAACCCTTCTCGATGGAACGAAGAAATTCAACACATGGAAGCACATAACGACATCAGGAAACAAAAACCCATTTGGGAGTTCAATCAACACAACGTTGTCGAATATCTTAGATCGGCTTGTAAGCTAGACAGATTTTCAGAAGAATTAATACACACTGTATGCGGCATTTTGGAAATAAACGCTTTCGAAGCCAGGACTCCAGAAGGATATTCGATCAGATGTCTGTATCCCAAATTGGCTATAATGTCGCATAATTGTGTTTCAAATATACATCATGCCATTGATTGTAAAGGAAGCGGAGATGCTGATGATTACAGGTAAAATATTTTCTTTTTGGCAACCACTATATATATTACAATTTTTACTACATGGTTTACTGCAATTTCTACTTCAAGTTATTACTACAAGTTTTACTACAAGTTTTACTACAAGTTTTACTACAAGTTTTACTAAAAGTTTTACTACAAGTACATACTATATAAGTATTTAATAATTAACCATCTACCCACCGGAGGACTACGCTTATTTTACTCAACTATCTGATGCGAAATTATCCTGTAGACCGGCTCAGTCGTGTATCTGTTTCTTAATCCGATATGGGTGTAAGTTCAGGGAATGATCTATACTACAAGTTTTACTACACGTTTTACTACAAGTTTTACTATAGGTTTTACTACAAATATTACAAGTTTTAGTACACCCAAACATTTACAACTCAGTTGTTATATCAGGACTTTTTATTATTTCCCACAGTAGCTCAAATTTTCCCGTTTTTATTATTTATGCACATGAACTTAATTTAAAATAAAAATAATATTTTTAGTGTAAATGTGAGAGCTGCGGTTGATGTTGAAGCTGGTGGAGAACTCCATAGCAGCTATACCTACTCCCTCTGGCCTACGTTAGTTAGAAGGGAATTCCTTAGGGAAAGCAAATATTTCGATTGCACATGCGAAAGATGTAGCGATAAAACGGAATTAGGAACTCAATGTGGCACGCTGAAATGCCAGAAATGTGACAATGGAATTATTTTATCCACTGATCCATTAGGTACCTATGTTCTTTAATTCTTGATTAAATCGTTACCTTTTATATATTTCATTTTAATTGTTCTTTTATACCAATATTAATGCTTTGCCATTGTTTTATTTTTTTAAAGATGACAAATGCGAATGGAAATGTACCCATTGTGAATACAAAACAAACGCTGTAGCCATCAGAAAAGTTTTTGCTGCAATCCAAACAGATCTGGATGGAGTTGAATATACTTTTGGTCCAGAAGGTAAAATTTTTGTTCTAGTAAGTTCAATTGACACCTAAGTATAGCTCAATATTAGCTAGTAACACAATTTTATCTAATCAATTTTTATTTAGGTATAGAGGCGCGTGAAACCCTTTACAAAAAATATAAATCTGTGCTTCATCCCAAAAATTCATACATGACAATTTTGAGAAGCGGACTGGTTCAACTGTATGGTAAAGCCGAAGGATACGCATTAAGCGATTTACCAGATTTAATTTTAGAAAGAAAAGTTGAGCTATGCAATCAGCTATTAGAAGTTCTCGATGTCATCGAACCTGGAAATTCCAGAATAAGGGGTAAGTCAAAGAAAATCTACAATCCAAAGGTTATAAAATCCGAGATTCCCGTCAAAATAACTGTTTTGGGAGTTCTAAAACTATGAATTCGAAGTTTCCGTGGTAGGCTTTAAAAAATTATAAATACGTCCCTATATAACTTACAACTACATTTTAGGATTGATACTGTTTGAACTACATGGTCCCCTAATGGTTTTGGCGAGACATCAGTATCAAAACGACGTGATCGATAAAGAAAAATTTAAGAAAGAATTGAGAAGGATAATTGACATTTTGGGACAATCCTTGAAGATTTTAAAACAAGAACCACCTAGTTTACCGGAGGGTCAATTGGCTTTAATTGCAGAACAAGCCCATGAGCAGTTGATTCAAAATTTTGATGTATTAATTGAAACGGCGTAAATTAAATTACATAATTTTTGAACTTTTATGTAATCTTAAAATAAAGTGGATAACATCTAATATATATAATTGTTTCATTATAATTTATTGATAATGGTTGGTGAGGTTTTTCGGAGTTTCCTCACCTGTAATCATCTTTCAGTCGCCCCGGAGCACCAAGGAAAATAATAAAAATAGCCGTCTCTTCCACGGACAAGCTCAGCTTTTGGGATTGAAATTCACTTGTAAGGGGGTCTAAGCGCCCCAGTCTGAACGTCGCGTTTTCGTGAATTCGTTGGACACGTATCATAGCACAATTTAATCATAAATTCAGCTATAAGAAAATAAGTAGCGTTGGATCTAGGACTATTAGGTCATGTCAGAAAATTAGACAAAGAAAAATATCATTTTTCTAAAAAATGTTTGTAAGTACAGGATAGAGATTAATGAATGGTTTTTGTTAGAAGGTAAGCATATATGCAGAAAAGAATCCTGAACATTATTTGGAATAAATTGCATAATGTTAAGAAAAATAAAATTGGTAAATTAAATCGAAAATTTATAAGCTTATCTTCCTAACAAAACGCAAAAGATAATATTCATTTTACAAAATAAATAGTACGTGGGCTGAGCGTTAGAAGGAATAAATATATTGCGAAAAAAATAGACAATCTAAATAAAATTAATAAAGATTTAAAGGATTAGTGATCGTGAGTCTGATAGTAAGGCTTGATAAACATTTTGAATGTCTGGTAATTAAAGATATATTGTTGGATTGAACATCGTTTTCTGGAAGAGGAACAAGATATAAATGCAATAAAATAGCTTATTTTATAGGGATGTTGTTAACTTGGGATTTTTATTCACCCTATTCAACCCTTCAGAAACGCCTCTGTTTTTCATTGCCACCGACTTCGATGGACGGCGGCAGCAAAACCGTGTGCTTAAGAGGTCGGTCATATGCGAGAGACACACTATCTACCCATTTATGTACACCTTTCGTAGTGTTGTTTTGTGTGTGTATTTTCTTTGGTTTCGTTAGTACTGCAGTGACAGCCGACTTGGTGGACGACGATCTGTCGCGAATCGCGTCACGTGAATCTAGTACAGGTGAATTTCACCGAAAACGAGTGATAAGCTCCATTTAATCGAGTTCGAGAAATTTTATTTTTATTTCGTTCTATTATATTAATATCTGTGCGGATTTTTTTTGTGATTTGTGAATTTGGTAAACGGTGACATTTCATTCATTCAAGAAGCTGTTCATTAAGGTGAGTTTAAGAAATCGACCAGCGTAAATTGCAAATTTATTTAGATTAAAAAAAAACGCGGTCAATAATTTAAATTTCTAAATTATAAATTTTACTTTTACAAATACCTAACAGATATATAAATTAATAATATGTAATTAACAGTGGGTATTTTAGAGCGAAATATTGATACCTTGAAGTATTCCACAAGGCAGTGTGTTAAGGCCACTTTTGTTTACACTTTAACTCAATGATATCAACAGATTGTCACTTCCTAGGCGTACCAACATTAATCAGTATAAACAATCGTTTTTCTTTGCTCTTTACTCTCATACAAATTAAGAAAATAAATTTTAATATTTAAAAAATTCGCAAGACCTGATTAAATATGGAATTTAAGTATTCCTGTTTATTATTCTGTCATTAGAAAATTCTCCAATTGCTTCTCTGGTCGTGTATGCTGTTGCATAATCTTCTTGGTAATACTATTTTATAAATACCCATTTTGTAAATACACATTTTGTAAATACTCATTTTATAAATCCACATTTTGTAAATACTCATTTTGTAAATACTTATTTTGTAAATACTCATTTTGTAAATACTTATTTTGTAAATACTCATTTTGTAAATACTCAAAAAAGACCAACGTTTTAGAAATGTTTTCAAGAAATCAGTCATGAATTCTGGATTTGAATACTGCTACTCACCATTTACTTTCACACCTTTACAGAAGTAACATTCGATAAATTTTGCACTGTGTTGAATACTATTTTAATAACAGTCTTGATTTAAACATTTTGCGTTTGCAAATATAAAACTTATAAGAATCATAAAGCACCTTTAAGATATAAAAAAGCTAATGAACTTGATAAAGGCTATCTTCAATTGCTTCTCTGGTCGTGTATGCGGTTGCATAATCTTATTGCTAATACTCATTTTATAAATACTCATTTTGTAAATACTCATTTTTTAAATACTCATTTTGTAAATACACATTTTGTAAACACACATTTTGTAAACACACATTTTTTAAATACTCATTATGTAAATACTTATTTTTTAAATACTCATTTTGTAAATACACATTTTGTAAACTCATTTTGTAAATACTCATTAATAAATACCTTTTTTGTAAATACTCAAAAAAATAGATCAACGTTTTGGAAATGTTTTGAACAAAACCGGTCATGCTTTCTGGATTTGAATACTGCTACTTGCCATTTACTTTCACACCTTTACAGAAGTAACATTCGATAAATTTTGCAGTGTGGAATATTATTTTTTAAATTTAATATTCTTAATAACAGTCTTGATTTAAACATTTTGCGTTTGCAAATATAACACTTATAAGAATCATAAAGCACGTTTAAGTTATAAAGAAGCTAATGAACTTGATAAGGGCTATCATCATTTCCGTTGACAACACTCAAAAAATTAACTAGGTATACTCCTTTATCTGACTAAGTTGTTTTTAGGATTTTACAGTATAGGGGGAAAGATTTTAAAGAATACCTTTTATTCATTTAACTTAAATATTACAATTATTATACTTATATAAAAAAAACCTTTGGTGTTCCACAAAGCACTGTTCTTGGACCTTTACTATTATGTAATATGTAAATAGTTTTTGAAAGTGAACGTGAAATGTGCTGGTTACATTGCAATCTTTTGCAGGGGAGACACTTGGGAAAATCTAAAAGACCAGTTAAGTACCGTTTAATTCCTATTAAAGTAACTTGCCAACCTGGGAAATTTGATAACCGACCTTACTATGCAGATTTTTGAATCGGGATACATCAAATATTTAAAATTATAATTTATAATAGATAAACGTATATTTGCATATAAATTTGGCTAAAAATACAAGAAGTCTTATTAGTAGAATCGAGTTTTTAAGGGAATATCTGGATATACATCATTTAAAAACTATATACTTTGCCCTGGTCCAATCTCAGCTAACATATGATATACTGGGATGGGGAGAAGTTTACGATATCCACCTAAAAAACGTTGCATTTTGCAAAAATGGATTATAAAACTAATTTATAATAAAAATCATACGTGTTTTAGTGATTTGGTTTATAGCCACAGTGAAATCTATTAAAATAAAATATTTATCATACCCGAAGACGAAATCAAATTTTTAAAATGCCAAAATATAACAAAAACATTATAAAACGAAGCTTATATTTTATAGGTCTTAAATTATACAATATTTGGCCAACTATTAATAAATTTTACTATTTAAAAATACTGTGAATATTAAAAACTGATAGAACTTGTATTTAGCATGATTAATAATTAAATAAAAAATATATTTTAAATACATTTGCTTATTTATTTTTTGTAAGGACTCAAAATAATTATAAAAATATATATTTTAATATTTATTTTTCATATTTTTATTTATATCTTGAACTATTATTAGTAATATATCACGTACAAGGAGTAAGTAAGTAGCAATTCATATGGGTACCAAGTATTTTGTGAATATAGGCCATATAGATCTTCCAGGAAAAAGAAAACATTTAGGAACGCCGTGTATATTTAGAATATTTCTTTCAAGTTAAAAACGTAACAAATATGTCATTGAAAAAAGCAATGGCATCGTAATGGTACACAGCCAAGTGAAAGTACACGATATTGCAATCTATGAGCATTTCAACTCGACAACTACATAATACGTTGCAAGATATTTTTCACAATAAAAAGATGTGTTTATAACGGTTATTTTTTTTATATATATATTCTAATTCAAGCACATGCTCATGCAAGGATAATGACTGTTAAAAATTAACAAAGAAGATGAAAATCTTTTTGTACACCACTAATTTGTTTTATCTTTCTTGACGATTTAAAATGCATGTGCTCTATGTAATTACCTAGACGACAATGTCCTGTCATCAGTCCCTTGAAAATACGTAAATTTCCTACCCCATTTCGGGATCTAAGCAGAGGTGTTTATAGAAGGGTTAAATATAAACGTCTTCCAGTTCATAAGTACTCTTTTTTCACATCGCTGTTTTCCTGAACCCTGATTAAAGTAACTTTGTTTCAAGCACCGAGACCTTTGAGGTATTTATACAGTTCCAAACTAGCTTTGAGTCAACTCGGTTGGTGCTATGCGAAAAGATCTTAATAGTCTTATGATCTGGGAGAAAATGAACTAACTTTTTGGATTCCCAAAAGGTACAAACACTGATGTGTTGTCTAATGAGATACATACTGTATATCACAGGTAAAATATAATTTTATAACCCTTAAATCATCTTCCCAAAAATATACGCCTGTAGGATACGAGTTCTAAATATCAAACGTTCGACTTCTCTAGAAGTTTATCCAATAAATAAGAACGTCTAAGAAAAGGAAATTCATTTATTTTTTATAAAACTACCTACGCGTGTCTGGATTACCTATAGTTATTCCTGGGGTGAACGGAATCCACCAAGGGGGATTCTTTTATTACCTGATCGATACAAGCTGGACCCAACCCTGTTTACAACCAACGAAATTGTCGAGTTTATATTTCTATTTCTACTTATGTGGGATGTATAGGAACAATAAAGTTTGGAACAAGGAGGGTGGAAATGACAGCAAATAAATTGTCTGTGCAGGTGGTATTAGTACAATTTCGTAGCATGTTTTTTTTTCAGTAATGGGTTGAAACAAATGATATAAGAAATTACATTGGTTGTAGTTATTTTTGAAAAGCAGAGATAAATTAATTTACCAACTGGTCGTCGTTTTTGATTTCTGCCTCTACACTTTTTTTGATTACATTTTTGTTTATTCTGTTCGTCTTCTAATTCTCAAAGTTCGTGTCACAACTGAA